TATTTTAACACGTGGTGTAATAAAAAATTAAATTTCTTGTTTAATTTTATTTAAAAAATATTACGATTTTTTTGTATTTCATTGCTAACTACGTTATTATTGAAGCTACAAAGTCGGTTAAATTGGCAAATTTAACCAACTTTGTAGCTCCAATAATAACGAAGTTCGTATGGTAGCAAACGTGAGCAGATAACTTTGGACACTGCGTATAGTCCGTAAAATACTTTTGGTTTGACATTTTTCCTCATATTTTGTTCTCCTATACAGGGTGTCCGTTTTTGGAGTCTTAGCATGAGTATCTCACTTATCTTTAGAGATACATAGTTTGTTAAATTAACCAACATTTGAAGGTAGCCCTTTCTAATTCAGACATTACTATGTCACTTTTTAAGGAAAATTTAAAAGTGCCAAAATATTTTTGCTAGCTTTCAAAACTGCCGAAATAAGATAAGCCTCGAAAAACGGACACTTAACACTTGTTAATAACGTAACAAAATATAATTTTTGAAAATACAATAAATCAGCTTTTTTTGTTTCAGGGTTGAACCAACCACTAAAACAACAAAACTTCGCACGAAAAGTTCTAACAAAGTTGCAGATATAGAGTGCCCGTATTGCAGCTATTCGACAAAACGCAAACCCGACCTGCACAAACATGTTAACAGAATGCATCGAGAACAAAACGATATAGAGAAAAAAATAGAAATGACGTGTCTGAAAAAAAATTGTGTTTACTGTGATTTTACAACAGTGTATACACGAGCATTGCAAATGCACATATACAGTAAACACAGGGAACAAAACGAGTTAGAAAAGAAAGTACCTATAACCTTAAAAACTTACTCCTGCGACAACTGTGACTATACAACAGTAAGGAAATCAAGCTTTTACCCGCACACAATATCATGCAAAAAAATAAAGTTAGAAAACACATTTAAATGCCATCTGTGTCCATATAAGTCAAATACAAACCAAAAACTAAAGGAACACCTTCGTAGGCACACACCCAGTATTAAGTGTTTGTACTGTGAGTTTTCATCGGTGGAAAATCGAATGATAAATAGGCACATTTATAAAAAACATAAGCAACAAAATGATGTAGAAAATAAAGTGCAATTACCTCTAGAAACTTGTGTCTACTGTGATTTTACAACAATAGACACACGAGCATTGCAAACGCACATATACAGTAAACACAGGAAACAAAACGAGTTAGAAAAGAAAGTACCTATAACCATAAAAACTTACTTCTGCGATAACTGCGATTATTTAACACTACGTAAATCGTCTTTTGACTCGCACATAATATCATGCAAAAAAATAAAGTTAGAAAACACATTTAAATGCCATCAGTGTTCATATAAGTCAAACACAAACAAAAAACTAAAATGCCATCTAAAGACCCATCAAAGTCCAAAGTTTGTTTGCCCTTATTGTCAGCTGGTTTATAAAACTTCCAGAAATTTGCAACTGCATGTTATAATGAAGCACAAAGAACAAAATGAACAGGAAAACAAGGTTAAGTTGACTTATAAGTTTTACAAATGTAGTTTTTGTGAGTTAATACATTTATACAAAAAAAAGGTGATGGATCATGAAGAAAAATGTAAAAATAAGAAGAAATGTTAAAGAATTTGTTAGGATTGAAAAACAAAATTTAATTAATAATTAATTATTAAACAGACAATGACAAACAACTTGTTTCGTTCTTTTTTAACCTTATCATTGCCACACATAGGTGGCCACGTCCGTTGGAAGGTAGATGGAGCTGATTAGCGTGCGCTCACCGCTGTCGCTGTATCTGATTTCTTTATATCAGCGTAGCAGTGTGCTTCGAAGTGTGCTCCACACTACACGGCTGCCCGTCACTGATGAGGTTCAAAAAGACCTAAACAGGCTGTATGTCGGTGCCTATTGGTAAACCATTTTTTAAAATTAAATTATTTTTATTACTTTTATATCATGTAATAAATATTTTATGAATATCTTGCATCCCGTTTTGAAGAATAAGACTTATAAATTAATAAAGGTTTGGGGGCTTTGCCACACTACCAAAAATCCTCATGATTTCTGCATCGGTAAATATTTTTAATAAAAAACAAAGTTATAAATAAGTTTGTTTTACTGTAGACCCTAATTTAAACCCTTATTTTATTTGGATTAGTTTAATATGTATATTATAGCAATATTTCAAAAATTGTATTCTTTATAAACTAACATATAATCATAGTTTTGAGTGTTTTTATTTTAACCCGTAGTGTAATAAAAAATTAAATTTCTTGTTTAATTTTACAAAGTGACTAGAAGTACACCGGGAGTACCGCCATTAAACGTACACCGGGTGGAAAAAATCCTTATTTAGCATATTTGTCAATTGTATCCCAGATAGCACAAAGAAGTACTAAAAACGTCCTGAGTATATCTTGTATCAGACATTAGTAAGTTCCGAGTACGTCCGAATCAGGTCCTGAACCTTCCCCAGGACGTTCCAGGGACATCTGATGTTACCAAATCGTCGGTCCCCAGAACGTCCTAAGGAAGACATCCTCTGGCCATCCTGAAATGCTTTATTGGGGACTAATGGACAAGCTTTACAGAATTGAAGAGTGGTATTCCCAAAGGCCCAGACAGCAATATGAAGTCTTAATTAAGTCTTATTTTATTAATTTCTTAAATGTATTTTATTAAAATCATTTTAATAATTTGCTCGTATTCGCTTATTTTAGGAATTGCGATTACTTCGTCTCACTTTTGTTTAAATTTAAGCGTGCTCTTCACCGGCACCGAAAGACGGCCTGTTTCCCTCTTTTGGAGCTCGTCAGTATCGGGTAGCCGTTTACCTAGGTCTAAAACCGTTTGGTATGAAGCACGCTCTAAATTCTACTTCGCCGCTTCTTATATCAAACACAAGCAGTTACAGCGGTGAGAAGAAAGAATCGCATTAAAATGTCATAAATGTGACGTCTCCATGTTGACGTCTTAAAGAGTTAATAATATGATTTCAGTAAGAAGTAAGAAAAGAGAATACTGTAAGATATCATATAACTAAAGTCTTATTTATCATACCTACCCTTAGTAGCTTCTAATTTTGATTTCAATAAGAGGTCAGAAAAAATGATACTTAAGATGTTAAAAAATTAACTTCTTATTTATGAATTTATCAAGAACTCTTAATCTTGAGCTCCTAAAAATGATTTCTCTAAGATGTCATATTGTGACCTCAGTAAGATGTTTTTCAACAGACTTCGTACAGAAATCTTTCTGAATTGGATGCTGTCTGGGGGGTCTAAGTTACAAAAATAAAATTGTGAGTTATCAATGAAAAACAAATATTTTGCACATGTAAATGTTGAAATGTCTGAAACACGTTTGGAATTGCATATTCCGCTCTTCTGAAACAGTCAAACTCGCCTTCGGCTCGTGTGACAAACTCTTCACTCGAGCGGATATGCTGTATTCCAAACTTGTTACAGAATATACTATTAAGTCATTCTGCATGACACAAACTATTTTTAAATGACTATTTCCCTCGTCTTAAATTCGACCAATCACAAACGCGCAATTTTGAATTACAAATCGTTTCTAGGTAAAAAATCTGTATGACAGCACCTGTCAGCAGTTTTTTCGAGTTTACCCGCGGCAAAACTTGACAGCTGTTGACAACAAAAATTGCAATTTATATTTTAATTGTTTACTGTTACTCATGAAATTGTCTTGTCAAATACCATTCGGGCATCTAATTTTTCCTGTGAAAAAAATCGAAAAAACACAATGCTAAGTAATATTTTTTAACAAAATGCATTCGTGCAGGTGCAAAAATCCTCCTCTTCGACTCGGATTTTTGTTGCCACCAGCACTCATGCTTTTTGTTAAAATATTACTTAGCAACGTGTTTTTTCGATTTTTTTCGGAAAAATTAAATGCCCTTATGATATTACTTACGATAATATATTATTTAACCAACTTGGCACTTAGACCCTTTGGAAATACAATGCTTCAATTACGTTCTTGGGACGTACCCAGTATATCCGCTATAATTTTCCCAAATTAGTAAGAGATTGGACGTACCCAAAACTTCCGATATAGGTCTAGGACGTTCGGACCTATGTGGGACCCGAAATGGACGTCCTGGGTACCTCTTGTGCTATCTGGGATAATATTAAATGGTCGCTCAATGGGGCGGGGTCGGTTGGGTTGGGTTGTTGAGTTTGGGTTGGTTTGGGTAATTCATACTGACATTTCATTAATTTTGTTGTTAATTGTATTTCAATCACATAATTAAATTTTAATCAATGTTTATATAACTTAAAAGTTAGCTTAATAATTACATAATTAATATCAAGACTTAACCAGCTGTTTACCAACTGTTATACAACTGAGCCTTAGTGTACCAATTTAATCTCAACTAATAAATCCGAAATTTTACCATCAGCTGGTATGGAAACACGCATGCGCACAAACCTGATGTACGTTTAATGCCCGTACTCCCGGTGTACTTTTAGTCACGGCGTTAATTTTATTTAAAAAATATTACGATTTTTTTATATTTCACTGCTAACTACGTTATTATTGAAGCTACAAAGTCGGTTAAATTGGCAAATTTAACCAACTTTGTAGCTCCAATAATAACGGAGTTCAAATGGTAGCAAACCTGAGCAGATAACTTTGGACACTGCGTATAGTCCATAAAATACTTTTCGTTTGACATTTTTCCTCATATTTTGTACTCCTGTGTCCGTTTTTTAGTCTTAGCATAGGTATCTCACTAATCTTTAGAGATACATAGTTAGTTAAATTAACCAACATTTGAAGGTAGCCTTTTCTAATTCAGACATACTATGTTACTTTTTAAGGAAAATTTAAAAGTGCCAAAATATTTTTGCTAGCTTTCAAAACTGCCGAAATAAGATAAGCCTCGAAAAACGGACACTTAACACTTGTTAATAACGTAACAAAATATAATTTTTGAAAATACAATGAATCAGCTTTTTTTGTTTCAGGGTTGAACCAACCACTAAAACAACAAAACTTCGCACGAAAAGTTCTAACAAAGTTGCAGATATAGAGTGCCCGTATTGCAGCTATTCGACAAAACGCAAACCCGACCTGCACAAACATGTTAACAGAATGCATCGAGAACAAAATGATATAGAGAAAAAAATAGAAATAACGTTTCTGAAAAAAAATTGTGTTTACTGTGATTTTACAACAATGAATACACGAACATTGCAAATGCACGTACACAGTAAACACAGGAAACAAAACGAGTTAGAAAAGAAAGTACCTATAACCATAAAAACTTACTTCTGCGATAACTGCGATTATTCAACACTAAGTAAATCGTCTTTTGACTCGCACACAATATCATGCAAAAAAATAAAGTTAGAAATCACATTTAAATGCCATCTGTGTCCATATAAGTCAAATACAAACGAAAAACTAAAGAAACACATTAAAGGGCACACACCCAGTATTAAGTGTTTGTACTGTGAGTTTTCATCGGTGGAAAATCGAACGATAAATAGGCACATTTATAGAAAACATAAGCAACAAAATGATGTAGAAAATAAAGTGCAATTACTACTAGAAATTTGTGTTTACTGTGATTTTACAACAATAGATACACGAGCATTGCAAATGCACGTACACAGTAAACACAGGAAACAAAACGAGTTAGAAAAGAAAGTACCTATAACCAGAAAAACTTACTTCTGCGATAACTGCGACTATTCAACACTAAGTAAATCGAGTTTTGACTGGCACACAATATCGTGCAAAAAAATAAAGTTAGAAAACACATTTAAATGCCATCAGTGTTCATATAAGTCAAACACAAACAAAAAACTAAAAAGGCATCTAAAGACCCATCAAAGTCCAAAGTTTGTTTGCCCTTATTGTCAGCTGGTTTATAAAACTTCCAGAAATTTGCAACTGCATGTTATAATGAAGCACAAAGAACAAAATGAACAGGAATACAAGGTTAAGTTGACTAATAAGTTTTACAAATGTAGTTTTTGTGAGTTAATACAGTTAGACAAAAAAAGGGGGGTGGCTCATGAAAAAAAATGTAAAAATAAGAAGAAATGTTAAAGATTTTGTTATGGTTGAAAAAAAAAATTAATCATAATTAATTATTAAACAGGCACCGAGAGACAACCTGTTTCGGTCTTTTTTAACCTTATCATTGCTACACATAGGTGGCCACGTCCGTTGGACGGTAGATGGAGCTGATTAGCGTGCGCTCACCGTTGTCGCCGTATCTGATTTCTTTATATCAGCGTAGCAGTGTGTTTTGAAGTGTAGTGTGATCCACACTACACGACTGCCCGGCACTGATGAGGTTTAAAAAGACCTAAACAGGCTCTCGGTGCCTGTTGATTGAGTACACTTCAAACAAAACGGTGACGAGGTTAAAGGCCAGCAAATAAAACCATTTTTTAAAACTAAATTTTTTTATTACTTTTATATCATGTAATAAATACTTTATGAATATCTTGCATCCCTTTTTAAAGAATAAGACTTATAAATTAATAAAGGTTTGGGGGCTTTGCCACACTACCAAAAATCCTTATGATTTCTGTATCGGTAAATATTTTTAATAAAAACCAAGGTTATAAATAAGTTTGTTTTATTGTAGACCCTAATTTAAACCCTTATTTTATTTGGATTAGTTTAATATGTATATTATAGGAATATTTCAAAAATTCTATTCTTTATAAACTAACATATAATCATAGTTTTGAGTGTTTTTATTTTAACCCGTAGTGTAATAAAAAAATTAAATATCTTGTTTAATTTTATTTAAAAAATATTACGATTTTTTATATTTCATTGCTAACTACGTTATTATTGAAGCTACAAAGTCGGTTAAATTGGCAAATTTAATCAACTTTGCAGCTCCAATAATAACGGAGTTCGAATGGTAGCAAACCTGAGCAGAAAATTTTGGACACGGTGTATAGTCCGTAAAATACTTTTGGTTTGACATTTTTCCTCATATTTTGTACTCCTATAAAGGGTGTCCGTTTTTGGAGTCTTAGCATGGGTATCTCACTTATCTTTAGAGATACATAGTTGGTTAAATTAACCAACATTTGAAGGTAGCCTTTTCTAATTCAGACATTACCATGACACTTTTTAAGGAAAATTTAAAAGTGCCAAAATATTTTTGCTAGCTTTCAAAACTGCCGAAATAAGATAAGCCTCGAAAAACGGACACTTAACACTTGTTAATAACGTAACAAAATATAATTTTTGAAAATACAATGAATCAGCTTTTTTTGTTTCAGGGTTGAACCAACCACTAAAACAACAAAACTTCGCACGAAAAGTTCTAACAAAGTTGCAGATATAGAGTGCCCGTATTGCAGCTATTCGACAAAACGCAAACCCGACCTGCACAAACATGTTAACAGAATGCATCGAGAACAAAACGATATAGAGAAAAAAATAGAAATGACGTGTCTGAAAAAAAATTGTGTTTACTGTGATTTTACAACAGAATATACAATAGCATTGCAAAGGCACATATACAGTAAACATAGGGAGCAAAACGAGTTAGAAAAGAAAGTACCTATAACATTAAAAACTTACTCCTGCGACAACTGTGACTATTCAACACTAAGTAAATCGAGTTTTGACTCGCACACAATATCATGCATAAAAATAAAGTTAGAAAACACATTTAAATGCCATCTGTGTCCATATAAGTCAAATACAAACCAAAAACTAAAGAAACACCTTCGTAGGCACACACCCAGTATTAAGTGTTTGTACTGTGACTTTTCATCGGTGGAAAATCAAAGGATAAAGAGTCACATTTATAGAAAACATAAGCAACAAAATGATGTAGAAAATAAAGTGCAATTACTACTACAAACTTGTTTTTACTGTGATTTTACAACAATAGATACACGAGCATTGCAAATGCACGTACACAGTAAACACAGGAAACAAAACGAGTTAGAAAAGAAAGTACCTATAACCATAAAAACTTACTTCTGCGATAACTGCGATTATTTAACACTAAGTAAATCGTCTTTTGACTCGCACACAATATCATGCAAAAAAATAAAGTTAGAAAACACCTTTAAATGCCATCAGTGTTCATATAAGTCAAACACAAACAAAAAACTAAAATGCCATCTAAAGACCCATCAAAGTCCAAAGTTTGTTTGCCCTTATTGTCAGCTGGTTTATAAAACTTCCAGAAATTTGCAACTGCATGTTATAATGAAGCACAAAGAACAAAATGAACAGGAAAACAAGGTTAAGTTGACTTATAAGTTTTACAAATGTAGTTTTTGTGATTTAAGACATTTAGACAAAAAAAAGGTGTTGGCGCATGAAGAAAAATGTAAAAAGAAGAAGAAATGTTAAAGATTTTGTTATGATTGAAAAAACAAATTAATTAATAATTAATCATTAAACAGGCACCGACAGACAACCTGTTTCGGTCTTTTTTAACCTTATCATTGCCACACATAGAGATGTGTCGGTCAGATCTGAACCGGCTCAGTGAACCGGGTCTTATAAGTGATCTACGTGAACCGGTTCACGAAAATTAAACGAACCGGCTCACGGGTCCGAAATTACAAAGCGGCCGCGCGCAAGCCGTTCTAAGCTCCGATTCACTGCTTCACCACTCGCAGCGAGTGACTCGCTATGCATTGAACAGGCCGCGCATGGCGAGCCGCTCGAGCCGTGAGCGGCGGGTCGCGAGAGATCTGAACCGGCTCCCTGGAGCTAAGAACGACTCGCGCTCGCAGTACGTTTTGTTTTCTGTGATCCAGATCTGACCAAAACATCTCGATTCTTTAGGCGCGGCTCGATCATGACTGTTGTATCATGCAGCTCGCTAGTGCCTATGCCGGTCGCATCGTTCGGAACCGAACTTCTTGCGTTCTGTGGCGCGTTACTACGTTAGGCAAATTTATACTTTTGGTAATTTTTTACAAACCCACAGAAATATGAGATGATTTCCCTTATGACAATGTCGTTTAAAATATATTTTTAATATTAATTAATTTAAATTGTGTAAACTTACAACATTTATGTTTTAAATATAACTTTTCATGTAAAATATTAAAATAATAAAGTTTTTATTGTTTTATAAAATTTTAATAAAATAAATAGTATGGTATAACAAAACTTGAATAAAATACAATGTAATATTTAATAGCCTTTATAATATTATTAAAATAACAATTTGTATTGCCTTATAATTTAATAAAGGCTCTTAAGTATTAAAGTGATAAACATTTTTAACATAAACTTAAATTTTATGTGCTCTGAATGATTTCATTAAGTGTTATGTTTAATTAGTTTGAGATTCAAATGGTTCTTTTGAACCGGTTCGTTGAACCGGTTCACTTATGTGATCCAGATCTAGTGATCCGGTTCAAAAGAGTGACCCGGAACGCCCATCACTAGCCACACATAGGTTGCCATGTCCGTTGGACGGTAGATGGAGCTGATTAGCGTGCGCTCACCGCTGTCGCTGTATCTGATTTCTTTATATTAGCGTAGCAGTGTGTTTCGATGTGTGCTCCACACTACACGGCTGCCCGGCACTGATGACGTTCAAAAAGACAACGGTCTGTCGGTGCCTGTTGGTCGAGTACACTTAAAAAAACAGTGGCGAGGTTAAAGGCCAGCAAATAAAACCATTTTTTAAAATTAAATTATTTTTATTATAATAATTATAAGTATACTTTTATATTATGTAATAAATACTTTATGAATATCTTGCATCCCTTTCTGAAGGATAAGACTTAAAAATTAATAAAGGTTTGGGGGCTTTGCCACACTACCAAAAATCCTCATGATTTCTGTATCGGTAGATATTTTTAATAAAAAACAAGTTTATAAATAAGTTCGTTTTATTGTAGACCCTAATTTAAACCCTTATTTTATTTGGATTAGTTTGATATGTATATTATAGCAATATTACAAAAATTGTATTCTTTATAAACTAACATAATCATAGTTCTGAGTATTTTTATTTTAACACGTAATGTAATAAAAAATTTAAATATCTTGTTTAATTTTATTTAAAAAAAGTTTTTTTTTTATTGCCAACTACTGCTACAAAGTCGGTTAAATTAGCAAATTTAACCAATTTTGTAGCTCCAATAAAAACGGAGTTCGAATGATAGCAATGGTGAGCATATAACTTTATACACGGTGTATAGTCCGTAAAATATTTTTGGTTTGACATTTTTCCTCATATCTTGTACTCCTATACAGGGTGTCCGTTTTTTGAGTCTTGGCATGGGTATCTCACTAATCTTTAGATATACATAGTTGGTTAAATAAACCAACATTTGAAGGTAGCCTTTTCTAATTCAGACATTATTATGTCACTTTTTAAGGAAAATTTAAAAGTGCCAAAATATTTTTGCTAGCTTTCAAAACTGCCGAAATAAGATAAGCCTCGAAAAACGGACACTTAACACTTGTTAATAACTTAACAAAATATAATTTTTGAAAATGAATCAGCTTTTTTGTTTCAGGGTTGAACCAACCACTAAAACAACAAAACTTCGCTCGAAAAGTTCTAACAAAGTTGCAGATATAGAATGCCCGTATTGCAGCTATTCGACAAAACGCAAACAAGACCTGCACAGACATGTTTACAGAATGCATCGAGAACAAAACGATATAGAGAAAGAAATAGAAATAACGTTTATGAAAAAAAATTGTGTTTACTGTGATTTTACAACAGTAGAAACACACTCATTGCAAATGCACATATACAGTAAACACAGGGAACAAAACGAGTTAGAAAAGAAAGTACCTATAACCATAAAAACTTACTTCTGCGATAACTGCGACTATTCAACACTAAGTAAATCGTATTTTGACTCGCACATAATATCATGCAAAAAAATAAAGTTAGAAAACACATTTAAATGCCATCAGTGTTCATATAAATTAAACACAAACAAAAAACTAAAAAGGCATCTAAAGACCCATCAAAGTCCGAACTTTGTTTGCCCTTATTGTCAGCTGGTTTATAAAACTTCCAGAAATTTGCAAATGCATGTTATAATGAAGCACAAAGAACAAAATGAACAGGAAAATAAGGTTAAGTTGACTAATAAGTTTTACAAATGTAGTTTTTGTGAGTTAATACATTTACACAAAAAAAAGGTGTTGGCTCATGAAAAAAAATGTAAAAATAAGAAGAAATGTTAAAGATTTTGTTACGGTTGAAAAACTAATTTTAATTAATAATTATTAAACAGGCTTTGACAGACAACTTGTTTCGGTCTTTTTAACCTTATCATTGGCACACATAGGTGGCCACGTCCGTTGGAAGGTAGATGGAGCTGATTAGCGTGTGCTCACCGCTGTCGCTGTATCTGATTTCTTTATATCAGCGTAGCAGTGTGTTTCGAAGTGTGCTCCACATTACACGGCTGCCCGTCACTGATGAGGTTCAAAAAGAGCTAAACAGGCTGTATGTCGGTGCCTGTTGGTAAACCATTTCTTAAAATTAAATTATTTTTATTACTTTTATATCATGTATTAAATACTTTATGAATATCTTGCATCACTTTTTGAAGAATAAGACTTATAAATTAATAAAGGTTTGGGGGCTTTGCCACACTACCTAAAAGCCTCATGATTTCTGTATCGGGTAATATTTTTAATAAAAAACAAGGTTATAAATAAGTTTGTTTTACTGTAGACCCTAATTTAAACCCTTATTTTATTTGGATTAGTTTAATATGTATATTATAGCAATATTTCAAAAATTGTATTCTTTATACACTAACATATAATCATAGTTTTGAGTGTTTTTATTTTAACCCGTAGTGTAATAAAAAATTAAATTTCTTGTTTAATTTTATTTAAAAAATATTACGATTTTTTTGTATTTCATTGCTAACTACGTTATTATTGAATCTACAAAGTCGGTTAAATTGGCAAATTTAACCAACTTTGTAGCTCCAATAATAACGGAGTTCGTATGGTAGCAAACATGAGCAGATAACTTTGGACACTGCGTATAGTCCGTAAAATACTTTTGGTTTGACATTTTTCCTCATATTTTGTACTCCTATACAGGGTGTCCGTTTTTTTGAGTTTTAGCATGGTTATCTCACTAATCTTTAGAGATACATAGTTGGTTAAATTAACCAACATTTGAAGGTAGCCTTTTCTAATTTAGACATTACTATGTCACTTTTTAAGGAAAATTTTAAAATATTACAGGGTGTCCGTTTTTTGAGTCTTAGCATGGGTATCTCACTAATCTTTAGAGATACATAGTTGGTTAAATTAACCAACATTTGAAGGTAGCCTTTTCTAATTCAGACATTACTATGTCACTTTTTAAGGAAAATTTTAAAGGTTCCAAAATATTTTTGCTAGCTTTCAAAACTGCCGAAATAAGATAAGCCTCGAAAAACGGACACTTAACACTTGTTAATAACGTAACAAAATATAATTTTTGAAAATACAATGAATCAGCTTTTTTTGTTTCAGGGTTGAACCAACCACAAAAACAACAAAACTTCGTACGAAAAGTTCTAACAAAGTTGCAGATATAGAATGCCCGTATTGCAGCTATTCGACAACACGCAAACAAGACCTGCAAAAACATGTTTACAGAATTCATCGAGAACAAAACGATATAGAGAAAAAAATAGAAATAACGTGTATGAAAAAAAATTGTGTTTACTGTGATTTTACAACAATAGATACACGAGCATTCCAAATGCACGTACACAGTAAACACATGAAACAAAACGAGTTAGAAAAGAAAGTACCTATAACCATAAAAACCTATTTCTGCGATAACTGCGATTATTTAACACTAAGTAAATCGTCTTTTGACCCGCACATAATATCATGCAAAAAAATAAAGTTAGAAAACACATTTAAATGCCATCACTGTTCATATAAGTCAAACACAAACAAAAAACTAAAAAGGCATCTAAAGACCCATCAAAGTCCAAAGTTTGTTTGCCCTTATTGTCAGCTGGTTTATAAAACTTCCAGAAATTTGCAAGTGCATATTATAATGAAACACCAAGAACAAAATAAACAGGAAAACAAGGTTAAGTTGACTAATAAGTTTATATATTTACACAAAAAAAAGGTGATGGATCATGAAGAAAAATGTAAAAATAAGAAGAAATGTTAAAGAATTTGTTAGGGTTGAAAAACAAAATTTAATTAATAATTAATTATTAAACAGACACTGACAAACAACTTGTTTCGGTCTTTTTTAACCTTATCATTGCCACAAATAGGTGGCCACGTCCGTTGGACGGTAGATGGAGCTGATTAGCGTGCGCTCACCGCTGTCGCTGTATCTGATTGCTTTATTTCAGTGTGGCAGTGTGTTTCGAAGTGTGCTCCACTCTACACGGCTGCCCGTCACTGATGAGGTTCAAAAAGACCTAAACAGGCTGTCTGTCGGTGCCTGTTGGTCGAGTACACTTCAAACAAAACGGTGGCGAGGTTAAAGGCCAGCAAATAAAACCATTTTTTAAAACCAAATTATTGTTATTACTTTTATATCATGTAATAAATACTTTATGAATATCTTGCATCCCTTTTTGAAGATTAATACTTATAAATTAATAAAGGTTTGGGGGCTTTGCCACACTACCAAAAATCCTCATGATTTCTGTATCGGTAAATATTTTTAATAAAAAATAAAGTTATAAATAAGTTTGTTTTACTGTAGACCCTAATTTAAACCCTTATTTTATTTTAGTTTAATATGTATATTGTAGCAATATTTCAAAAATTGTATTCTTTATAAACTAACCTATAATCATAGTTTAGAGTGTTTTTATTTTAACACGTGGTGTAATTAAAAATATTACGATTTTTTTGTATTTCATTACTACGTTATTATTGAAGCTACAAAGTCGGTTAAATTGGCAAATTTAACCAACTTTGTAGCTCCAATAATAACGGAGTTCGAATGGTTGCAATGGTGAGCATATAACTTTGGAAACGGTGTATAGTCCGTAAAATACTTTTGGTTTGACATTTTTCCTCATATTTTGTACTCCTATAAAGGGTGTCCGTTTTTGGAGTCTTATCATGAGTAGTCTTATCATGAGTATCTCACTTATCTTTAGAGGTACATAGTTTGTTAAATTAACCAACATTTGAAGGTAGCCCTTTCTAATTCAGACATTACTATGTCACTTTTTAAGAAAAATTTAAAAGTGCCAAAATATTTTTGCTAGCTTTCAAAACTGCCGAAATAAGATAAGCCTCGAAAACCGGACACTTAACACTTGTTAATAACGTAACAAAATATAATTTTTGAAAATACAATAAATCAGCTTTTTTTGTTTCAGGGTTGAACCAACCACTAAAACAACAAAACTTCGCACGAAAAGTTCTAACAAAGTTGCAGATATAGAGTGCCCGTATTGCAGCTATTCGACAAAACGCAAACAAGACCTGCACAAACATGTTAAAAGAATGCATCGAGAACAAAACGATATAGAGAAAAAAATAGAAATATCGTTTATGAAAAAAAATTGTGTTTACTGTGATTTTACAACAGTAGAAACACACTCATTGCAAATGCACATATACAGTAAACACAGGGAACAAAACGAGTTAGAAAAGAAAGTACCTATAACCTTAAAAACTTACTCCTGCGACAACTGTGACTATTCAATACTAAGTAAATCGAGTTTTGACTCGCACACAATATCATGCAAAAAAATAAAGTTAGAAAACACATTTAAATGCCATCAGTGTTCATATAAGTCAAACACAAACAAAAAACTAAAAGGGCATCTAAAGACCCATCAAAGTCCGAACTTTGTTTGCTCTTATTGTCAGCTGGTTTATAGAACTCCCAGATATTTGCAAATGCATGTTATAATGAAGCACAAAGAACAAAATGAACAGGAAAACAAGGTTAAGTTGACTTATAAGTTTTACAAATGTAGTTTTTGTGAGTTAATACATTTAAACAAAAAAAGGGCGATGGATCATGAAGAAAAATGTAAAAATAAGAAGAAATGTTAAAGATTTTGTTATGGTTGAAAAAAAAATTAATTGATAATTAATTATTAAACAGGCACCGACAGACAACCTGTTTCGGTCTTTTTTAACCTTATCATTGCTACACATAGGTGGTCACGTCCGTTGAAAGGTAGATGGAGCTGATTAGCGTGCGCTCACCGCTGTCGCTGTATCTGATTTCTTTATATCAGCGTAGCAGTATGTTTCGAAGTGTGATCCACACTACACGGCTGCCCGGCACTGATGAGGTTTAAAAAGACCTAAACAGGCTGTCTGTCGGTGCCTGTTGGTCGAGTACACTTCAAACAAAACGGTGGCGAGGTTAAAGGCCAGCAAATAAAACCATTTTTTAAAACTAAATTATTGTTATTACTTTTTCATCATGTAATAAATACTTTATGAATATCTTGCATCACTTTTTGAAGAATAAGACTTATAAATTAATAAAGGTTTGGGGGCTTTGCCATACTACCAAAAATCCTCATGATTTCTGTATCGGGTAATATTTTTAATAAAAAAACAAGGTTATAAATAAGTTTGTTTTACTGCAGTAGACCCTAATTTAAACCCTTATTTTATTTGGATTAGTTTAATATGTATTTTCAAGCAATATTTCAAAAATTGTATTCTTTATAAACTAACATATAATCATAGTTTTTAGTGTTTTTATTTTAACCCGTAGTGTAATAAAAAAATTAAATATCTTGTTTAATTTTATTTAAAAAATATTACGTTTTTTTTTGTATTTCATTGCTAACTACGTTATTATTGAAGCCACAAAGTCGGTTAAATTGCCAAATTTAACCAACTTTGTAGCTAGAATAATAACGGAGTTCGAATGGTAGCAAACCTGAGCAGATAACTTTGGACACTGCGTATAGTTCGTAAAATACTTTTGATTTGACATGTTTCCCTATATTTTGTACTCCTATAAAGGGTGTCTGTTTTTTTAGTCTTAGCATTAAGTAAAGAAGTTTTACTCAATGGTCTTAGCATGGGTATCTCACTTATCTTTAGAGATACTAGGGCCGGTTTTTCAATCGTTGGTTAAGTTTATCTTACAGTTAACTTTCTTATATTCTATTGTGTTAACAATAGTATCTAAGGAAATTAACCGTAAGATAAACTTAACCAACGATTGAAAAACCGGCCCATAGTTGGTTAAATTAACCAACATTTGAAGGTAGCCTTTTCTAATTCAGACATTACTATGTTACTTTTTAAGAAAAATTTAAAAGTGCCAAAATATTTTTGCTAGCTTTCAAAACTGCCGAAATAAGATAAGCCTCGAAAAACGGATACTTAACACTTGTTAATAACGTAACAAAATATAATTTTTGAAAATACAATAAATCAGCTTTTTTTGTTTCAGGGTTGAACCAACCACTAAAACAACAAAACTTCGCACGAAAAGTTCTAACAAAGTTGCAGATATAGAGTGCCCGTATTGCAGCTATTCGACAAAACGCAAACAAGACCTGCACAAACATGTTAACAGAATTCATCGAGAACAAAACGATATAGAGAAAAAAATAGAAATAACGTGTCTGAAAAAAAATTGTGTTTACTGTGATTTTACAACAGTGGATACACGAGAATTGCAAATGCACATATACAGTAAACACAGGGAACAAAACGAGTTAGAAAAGAAAGTACCTATAACCATAAAAACTTACTCCTGCGACAACTGTGACTATACAACAGTAAGGAAATCAAGCTTTTACTCGCACACAATATCATGCAAAAAAATAAAGTTAGAAAACACATTTAAATGCCATCTGTGTCCATATAAGTCAAATACAAACCAAAAACTAAAGGAACACCTTCGTAGGCACACACCCAGTATTAAGTGTTTGTACTGTGAGTTTTCATCGGTGGAAAATCGAATGATAAATAGGCACATTTATAAAAAACATAAGCAACAAAATGATGTAGAAAATAAAGTGCAATTACCACTAGAAACTTGTGTCTACTGTGATTTTACAACAATAGACACACGAGCATTGCAAACGCACATATACAGTAAACACAGGAAACAAAACGAGTTAGAAAAGAAAGTACCTATAACCATAAAAACTTACTTCTGCGATAACTGCAATTATTTAACACTACGTAAATCGTCTTTTGACTCGCACATAATATCATGCAAAAAAATAAAGTTAGAAAACACATTTAAATGCCATCAGTGTTCATATAAGTCAAACACAAACAAAAAACTAAAATGCCATCTAAAGACCCATCAAAGTCCAAAGTTTGTTTGCCCTTATTGTCAGCTGGTTTATAGAACTCCCAGATATTTGCAAATGCATGTTATAATGAAGCACAAAGAACAAAATGAACAGGAAAACAAGGTTAAGTTGACTAATAAGTTTTACAAATGTAGTTTTTGTGAGTTAATACATTTACACAAAAAAAAGGTGATGGATCATGAAGAAAAATGTAAAAATAAGAAGAAATATTAAAGACTTTGTTAGGGTTGAAAAACAAAATTTAATTAATAATTAATTATTAAACAGGCAATGACAAACAACTTGTTTCGTTCTTTTTTAACCTTTTCATTGCCACACATAGGTGGCCACGTCCGTGGGAAGGTAGATGGAGCTGATTAGCGTGCGCTCACCGCTGTCGCTGTATCTGATTTCTTTATATCAGCGTAGCAGCAGAGACAAGGGAGAGAGAGACGATTCTTTAAATAGGAATTTCGGTCAACAATTTAGATGCGCAGGGCTGCACACAGATTTCAATGTAAATCGGTTTCTGCACATTTGTTGGCAGCCCTGCACTGAAAAGGCGCAATCACAATCCATGTGGATTGTGGGTGCAATTATGTTCTTTACTGTCATTTTCTGTCGTCTGTCAGTCTGCTGTCAGTAAATACTAAAAGTGCTTCTGTGGTTTTGTTTATAAGTTTTATTGATAAGTTATTATACCTCGTTATATTTAGCAGATTGTCAATTGTTGTTAAATGAACGTATTTAAGGTCAAAGTAAATAAATTAAAATATGTAGGTATGTGTGATAAAATAATTTTCTTCTCTAATTCAATTCGATTAGTTTTTATAGTGTTTTTTTGTGTTGTTAATTAAGTTTTTGCTTTAAAATATTTTCGTGTAGGTATGTTTATTTCATATTTAAATATAATTAATATTTTGATATTTTTACATTATTTTTCTTTCTATTTTTGTTTATAAATTATTTGTGTTCAATGTTATTTTTGTTCCTGTTTTTTATTGGTTTACATGTTGTAAATAAAATAATTTCAATTTAATGCTATTTTAATTTTTTTCAACATGATATCTACGAAAGATCCTACTTTGTAATTCAATCGGTGAGATTAAGAACAGTACAAGTCCAAAATATTTATTTTGAAAAATTATTTTCTAAAATCAATTTAAAAGTTTAAAATGAATTTTTGTGAGAAGATTTATATTATTTTATAAAATATTATTATTATATTTTATAAAGTATATAGTTGAAATATTTTCACAAAAATGCATTTTGAACTATAAAACTGACTTTATAAAATAATTTGTCAAATTTTTTGGACTTGTACGGTTCTTAATCTCACCGATTCAATTGTAGCAAACAAAAATTAAATATTTAAAAATACCGCGCAAAATTTCTTTAGCATTAGTTCTTGCAGCCCCCGGCGAGGGCGCCATATTTATTGTTTTCAATGTTTATATGGGAATCGTTCGTCTCTCTCTCCCTTGTCTCTGCGTAGCAGTGTGTTTCGAAGTGTGCTCCACACTACACGGCTGCCCGTCACTGATGAGGTTCAAAAAGATCTAAACAGGCTGTATGTCGGTGCCTGTTGGTAAACCATTTTTTTTTAAATTAAATTATTTTTATTACTTTTATATCATGTAATAAATACTTTATGAATATCTTGCATCCCTTTTTGAAGAATAAGACTTATAAATTAATAAAGGTTTGGGGGCTTTGCCACACTACCAAAAATCCTCATGATTTCTGTATCGGTAAATATTTTTAATAAAAAACAAAGTTATAAATAAGTTTGTTTTACTGTAGACCCTAATTTAAACCCTTATTTTATTTGGATTGGTTTGATATGTATAATATAGCAATATTTTAAAAATTATAATCTTTATAAACTAACATAATCATAGTTCTGAGTATTTTTATTTTGACACGTAATGTAATAAAAAATTTAAATATCTTGTTTAATTTTATTAAAAAAAAAAAAAAATTATTGCCAACTACGTTATTATTAGAGCTACAAAGTCGCTTAAATTAGCAAATTTAACCAATTTTGTAGCTCCAATAAAAACGGAGTTCGAATGGTAGCAATGGTGAGAATATAACTTTGGACACGGTGTATAGTCCGTAAAATATTTTTGGTTTGACATTTTTCCTCATATTTTGTACTCCTATACAGGGTGTCCGTTTTTTGAGTCTTGGCATGGGTATCTCACTAATCTTTAGATATACATAGTTGGTTAAATTAACCAACATTTGAAGGTATGCCAAAGTTGTACCGTAACAGTCTTGGAGGGGCTGTACGTCTCAGGGGGGAAAGTTCGTTGAGGAAAAGATTTGTAAGGCCCAGATAATGTTCTTTATTGATTGTAATGAATTGGTTTTAGCACACTAAAAATATGAGTGGAATAAGACACGTGTTTTTGTTAATTATCCTCATACATCCAAATAAATCATTACAGCAATAACTTACCTAAAAATATGAGCAGACACGTCAATCATAATTAATTATTAAACAGGCACCGACAGACAACCTGTTTCGGTCTTTTTTAACCTTATCATTGCTACACATAGGTGGCCAAGTCCGTTGGACGGTAGATAAAGCTGATAAGCGTGCGCTCACCGCTGTCGCCGTATCTGATTTCTTTATATCAGCGTAGCATTGTGTTTCGAAGTGTGCTCTACACTACACGGCTGCCCGGCACTGATGAGGTTTAAAAAGACAGAAACAGGCTCTGTCGGTGCCTGTTGGTCGAGTACACTTCAAACAAAACGGTGACGAGGTTAAAGGCGAGCTATTAAAACCATTTTTTAAAACTAAATTATTGTTATTACTTTTATATCATGTAATAAATACTTTATGAATATCTTGCATCACTTTTTGAAGATTTAGACTTATAAATTAATAAAGGTTTGGGGGCTTTGCCACACTACCAAAAATCCTCATGATTTCTGTATTGGTAAATATTTTTAATAAAAAACAAGGTTATAAAATATAAGTTTGTTTTACTGTAGACCCTAATTTAAACCCTTATTTTATTTGGATTAGTTTAATATGTATATTATAGCATTATTTCAAAAATTGTATTCTTTCTAAACTAACATACAATCATAGTTTTGGGTGTTTTTATTTTAACTCGTAAAGCAATACAAAATTAAATATCTTGTTTAATTTTATTTAAAAAAAATATAACGAGTTTTTTTCCATTGCTAACAATATGTATAGCCCGTAGTTATTTGTTTTACAAGTGTTGAAAAGCGACTTTTCCATGCGAGTTTTTAAGTTGCCAACGAGGCCGTTAGGCCGAGTGTGCATTAACACGAGCTTGAAGAAAGCTTTTCTCACAAGTATAACACAATGTTTTTTCTGCGACCCTTTTATTTTTTATTATTTTTAAATACAAAACAAAATAACCTAAAAACTTTTTTGACAGCTGAAAGTCAAACGATGCTTTCCGGTTCTTTTCACACAGACCTGTCACTTTTCACACAGAAATGTCACTTTACATTAGTGTTTTGCCTTGTCAATGAAAAGATTCATTTTCTAAGCAACGATGCCATCATGAAAGGTGACTTTTACATAGTGGTCGTAGAAAAAAATACTTTTCGTTTGACTTGTATTTTTCCTCATACTTTGTACTCCTATACAGGGTGGCCGTTTTTCAAGTCTTAGCATGGGTTTCTCACTTATATTTAGAGATACATAGTTGGTTAAATTAACCAACATTTGAAGGTAGCCTTTTCTAATTCAGACATTACTATGTCACTTTTTAAGGAAAATTTAAAAATGCCAAAATATTTTTGCTATAGCTTTCAAAACTGCCGAAATAAGATAAGCCTAGAAAAACGGACACTTAACACTTGTTAATAACGTAACAAAATATAATTTTTGAAAATACAATAAATCAGCTTTTTTTGTTTCAGGGTTGAGCCAACCACTAAAACAACAAAACTTCGCACGAAAAGTTCTAACAAAGTTGCAGATATAGAGTGCCCGTATTGCAGCTATTCGGCAAAACGCAAACACAACCTGCACAAACATGTTTATAGAATGCATCGAGAACAAAACGATATAGAGAAAGAAATAGAAATATCGTTTATGAAAAAAAATTGTGTTTACTGTGATTTTACAACAGTAGAAACACACTCATTGCAAATGCACATATACAGTAAACACAGGGAACAAAACGAGTTAGAAAAGAAAGTACCTATAACCATAAAAACTTACTCCTGCGACAACTGTGACTATTCAATACTAAGTAAATCGAGTTTTGACTCGCACACAATATCATGCAAAAAAATAAAGTTAGAAAACACATTTAAATGCCATCTGTGTCCATATAAGTCAAATACAAACCAAAAACTAAAGAAACACCTTCGTAGGCACACACCCAGTATTAAGTGTTTGTACTGTGACTTTTCATCGGTGGAAAATCAAACGATAAATAGGCATATTTATAGAAAACATAAGCAACAAAATGATGTAGAAAATAAAGTGCAATTACTACTACAAACTTGTTTTTACTGTGATTTTACAACAATAGATACACGAGCATTGCAAATGCACGTACACAATAAACACAGGAAACAAAACGAGTTAGAAAAGAAAGTACCTATAACCATAAAAACTTACTTCTGCGATAACTGCGATTATTCAACACTAAGTAAATCGTCTTTTGACTCGCACACAATATCATGCAAAAAAATAAAGTTAGAAAACACCTTTAAATGCCATCAGTGTTCATATAAGTCAAACACAAACAAAAAACTAAAATGCCATCTAAAGACCCATCAAAGTCCAAAGTTTGTTTGCCCTTATTGTCAGCTGGTTTATAAAACTTCCAGAAATTTGCAACTGCATGTTATAATGAAGCACAAAGAACAAAATGAACAGGAAAACAAGGTTAAGTTGACTTATAAGTTTTACAAATGTAGTTTTTGTGAGTTAATACATTTAGACAAAAAAAAGGTGATGGATCATGAAGAAAAATGTAAAAATAAGAAGAAATGTTAAAGATTTTGTTATGGATAAAAAAAAATAATCATAATTAATTAATAAACAGGCACCGACAGACAACCTGTTTCGGTCTTTTTTAACCTTATCATTGCCACACATAGGACGGTAGATGGAGCTGATTAGCGTGCGCTCACCGCTGTCGCTGTATCTGATTGCTTTATTTCAGTGTGGCAGTGTGTTTCGAAGTGTGATCCACACTATACGGCTGCCCGGCACTGATGAGGTTTAAAAAGACCTAAACAGGCTCTGTCGGTGCCTGTTGGTCGAGTACACTTCAAACAAAACGGTGACGAGGTTAAAGGCGAGCTATTAAAACCATTTTTTAAAACTAAATTATTGGTATTACTTTTATATCATGTAATAAATACTTTATGAATATCTTGCATCACTTTTTGAAGAATAATACTTATAAATTAATAAAGGTTTGGGGGCTTTGCCACACTACCAAAAATCCTCATGATTTCTGTATCGGGTAATATTTTTAATAAAAAACAAGGTTATAAATAAGTTTGTTTTACTGTAGACCCTAATTTAAACCCTTATTTTATTTGGATTAGTTTAATATGTATATTATAGCAATATTTCAAAAATTGTATTCTTTATACACTAACATATAATCATAGTTTTAAGTGTTTTTATTTTAACTCGTAGTGTAATAAAAAATTAAATTTCTTGTTTAATTTTATTTAAAAAATATTACGATTTTTTTGTATTTCATTGCTAACTACGTTATTATTGAATCTACAAAGTCGGTTAAATTGGCAAATTTAACCAACTTTGTAGCTCCAATAATAACGGAGTTCGTATGGTAGCAAACATGAGCAGATAACTTTGGACACTGCGTATAGTCCGTAAAATACTTTTGGTTTGACATTTTTCCTCATATTTTGTACTCCTATACAGGGTGTCCGTTTTTTTGAGTTTTAGCATGGGTATCTCACTAATCTTTAGAGATTCATAGTTGGTTAAATTAACCAACATTTGAAGGTAGCCTTTTCTAATTCAGACATTACCATGACACTTTTTAAGGAAAATTTTAAAGGTTCCAAAATATTTTTGCTAGCTTTCAAAACTGCCGAAATAAGATAAGCCTCGAAAAACGGACACTTAACACTTGTTAATAACGTAACAAAATATAATTTTTGAAAATACAATGAATCAGCTTTTTTGTTTCAGGGTTGAACCAACCACTAAAACAACAAAACTTCGCACGAAAAGTTCTAACAAAGTTGCAGATATAGAATGCCCGTATTGCAGCTATTCGACAAAACGCAAACAAGACTTGCACAAACATGTTTACAGAATGCATCGAGAACAAAACGATATAGAGAAAAAAATAGAAATATCGTTTATGAAAAAAAATTGTGTTTACTGTGATTTTACAACAGTAGAAACACACTCATTGCAAATGCACATATACAGTAAACACAGGGAACAAAACGAGTTAGAAAAGAAAGTACCTATAACCTTAAAAACTTACTCCTGCGACAACTGTGACTATTCAATACTAAGTAAATCGAGTTTTGACTCGCACACAATATCATGCAAAAAAATAAAGTTAGAAAACACATTTAAATGCCATCAGTGTTCATATAAGTCAAACACAAACAAAAAACTAAAAGGGCATCTAAAGACCCATCAAAGTCCGAACTTTGTTTGCTCTTATTGTCAGCTGGTTTATAGAACTCCCAGATATTTGCAAATGCATGTTATAATGAAGCACAAAGAACAAAATGAACAGGAAAACAAGGTTAAGTTGACTAATAAGTTTTACAAATGTAGTTTTTGTGAGTTAATACATTTAAACAAAAAAAGGGCGATGGATCATGAAGAAAAATGTAAAAATAAGAAGAAATGTTAAAGAATTTGTTATGGTTGAAAAAAAAATTAATTAATAATTAATTATTAAACAGGCACCGACAGACAACCTGTTTCGGTCTTTTTTAACCTTATCATTGCCACACATAGGTGGCCACGTCCGTTGGACGGTAGATGGAGCTGATCAGCGTGCGCTCACCGCTGTCGCCGTATCTGATTTCTTTATATCAGCGTAGCAGTATGTTTCGAAGTGTGATCCACACTACACGGCTGCCCGGCACTGATGAGGTTTAAAAAGACCTAAACAGGCTGTCTGTCGGTGCCTGTTGGTCGAGTACACTTCAAACAAAACGGTGGCGAGGTTAAAGGCCAGCAAATAAAACCATTTTTTAAAACTAAATTATTGTTATTACTTTTTCATCATGTAATAAATACTTTATGAATATCTTGCATCACTTTTTGAAGAATAAGACTTATAAATTAATAAAGGTTTGGGGGCTTTGCTACACTACCAAAAATCCTCATGATTTCTGTATCGGGTAATATTTTTAATAAAAAAACAAGGTTATAAATAAGTTTGTTTTACTGCAGTAGACCCTAATTTAAACCCTTATTTTATTTGGATTAGTTTAATATGTATTTTCAAGCAATATTTCAAAAATTGTATTCTTTATAAACTAACATATAATCATAGTTTTTAGTGTTTTTATTTTAACCCGTAGTGTAATAAAAAAATTAAATATCTTGTTTAATTTTATTTAAAAAATATTACGTTTTTTTTTTGTATTTCATTGCTAACTACGTTATTATTGAAGCCACAAAGTCGGTTAAATTGCCAAATTTAACCAACTTTGTAGCTAGAATAATAACGGAGTTCGAATGGTAGCAAACCTGAGCAGATAACTTTGGACACTGCGTATAGTTCGTAAAATACTTTTGATTTGACATGTTTCCCTATATTTTGTACTCCTATAAAGGGTGTCTGTTTTTTTAGTCTTAGCATGGGTATCTCACTTATCTTTAGAGATACTAGGGCCGGTTTTTCAATCGTTGGTTAAGTTTATCTTACGGTTAACTTTCTTATATTCTATTGTGTTAACAATAGTATCTAAGGAAATTAACCGTAAGATAAACTTAACCAACGATTGAAAAACCGGCCCATAGTTGGTTAAATTAACCAACATTTGAAGGTAGCCTTTTCTAATTCAGACATTACTATGTTACTTTTTAAGAAAAATTTAAAAGTGCCAAAATATTTTTGCTAGCTTTCAAAACTGCCGAAATAAGATAAGCCTCGAAAAACGGATACTTAACACTTGTTAATAACGTAACAAAATATAATTTTTGAAAATACAATAAATCAGCTTTTTTTGTTTCAGGGTTGAACCAACCACTAAAACAACAAAACTTCGCACGAAAAGTTCTAACAAAGTTGCAGATATAGAGTGTCCGTATTGCAGCTATTCGACAAAACGCAAACAAGACCTGCACAAACATGTTAACAGAATTCATCGAGAACAAAACGATATAGAGAAAAAAATAGAAATAACGTGTCTGAAAAAAAATTGTGTTTACTGTGATTTTACAACAGTGGATACACGAGAATTGCAAATGCACATATACAGTAAACACAGGGAACAAAACGAGTTAGAAAAGAAAGTACCTATAACCATAAAAACTTACTCCTGCGACAACTGTGACTATACAACAGTAAGGAAATCAAGCTTTTACTCGCACACAATATCATGCAAAAAAATAAAGTTAGAAAACACATTTAAATGCCATCTGTGTCCATATAAGTCAAATACAAACCAAAAACTAAAGGAACACCTTCGTAGGCACACACCCAGTATTAAGTGTTTGTACTGTGAGTTTTCATCGGTGGAAAATCGAATGATAAATAGGCACATTTATAAAAAACATAAGCAACAAAATGATGTAGAAAATAAAGTGCAATTACCACTAGAAACTTGTGTCTACTGTGATTTTACAACAATAGACACACGAGCATTGCAAACGCACATATACAGTAAACACAGGAAACAAAACGAGTTAGAAAAGAAAGTACCTATAACCATAAAAACTCACTTCTGCGATAACTGCGATTATTTAACACTACGTAAATCGTCTTTTGACTCGCACATAATATCATGCAAAAAAATAAAGTTAGAAAACACATTTAAATGCCATCAGTGTTCATATAAGTCAAACACAAACAAAAAACTAAAATGCCATCTAAAGACCCATCAAAGTCCAAAGTTTGTTTGCCCTTATTGTCAGCTGGTTTATAGAACTCCCAGATATTTGCAAATGCATGTTATAATGAAGCACAAAGAACAAAATGAACAGGAAAACAAGGTTAAGTTGACTAATAAGTTTTACAAATGTAGTTTTTGTGAGTTAATACATTTACACAAAAAAAAGGTGATGGATCATGAAGAAAAATGTAAAAATAAGAAGAAATATTAAAGACTTTGTTAGGGTTGAAAAACAAAATTTAATTAATAATTAATTATTAAACAGGCAATGACAAACAACTTGTTTCGTTCTTTTTTAACCTTATCATTGCCACACATAGGTGGCCACGTCCGTGGGAAGGTAGATGGACCTGATTAGCGTGCGCTCACCGCTGTCGCTGTATCTGATTTCTTTATATCAGCGTAGCAGCAGAGACAAGGGAGAGAGAGACGATTCTTTAAATAGGAATTTCGGTCAACAATTTAGATGCGCAGGGCTGCACACAGATTTCAATGTAAATCGGTTTCTGCACATTTGTTGGCAGCCCTGCACTGAAAAGGCGCAATCACAATCCATGTGGATTGTGGGCGCAATTATGTTCTTTACTGTCATTTTCTGTCGTCTGTCAGTCTGCTGTCAGTAAATACTAAAAGTGCTTCTGTGGTTTTGTTTATAAGTTTTATTGATAAGTTATTATACCTCGTTATATTTAGCAGATTGTCAATTGTTGTTAAATGAACGTATTTAAGGTCAAAGTAAATAAATTAAAATATGTAGGTATGTGTGATAAAATAATTTTCTTCTCTAATTCAATTCGATTAGTTTTTATAAGTCGTTTTTTCGCGTAAATACCATGCGTTCAAAAATCCTAACTATGACGTCACAAATACCAGACCATAAAACTATATCGCTGAGCTAGTTATTCAACGTGGTTAATAGTCTTTCTCTTTTTAATATATATATTTAATATGTTTATGTAGGAATAATGTTGTGTGCTAAACATATCTTCTCCAAAACATACCGCCAACCTTCGTCTTTTTCTTTGGGGTTCCATTCTAAATTTTGAATTTCACAATAATAATTTTCGTATAAACGTTAAACACTGTTGGATTTTAGTTATGGTAAACAACAGTGAAGAACTGTTTATATATAAAAAGAGGTATAGAAAAGGTAGGTATAAGAACTAGGGTTCATAGAAAAAGAATATACAAGGTAAAAGAAGAGGCAAAGAAATTTATTTACACCTGTAAAAGCATAGAAATTAAATATAAATAGGTAAAAACACATTTCAAAAATTATAGGTTATGAACAAGTAAACAAATGTCAAATGTTAGAAACCTAACCATGGTTATATGAATTAACTGTGACGTCATGACTTATTTAACCGTAGTATTTCATAGTATTTACGCGAAAAAACGACTATAGTGTTTTTTTGTGTTGTTAATTAAGTTTTTGCTTTAAAATATTTTCGTGTAGGTATGTTTATTTCATATTTAAATATAATTAATATTTTGATATTTTTACATTATTTTTCTTTCTATTTTTGTTTATAAATTATTTGTGTTCAATGTTATTTTTGTTCCTGTTTTTTATTGGTTTACATGTTGTAAATAAAATAATTTCAATTTAATGCTATTTTAATTTTTTTCAACATGATATCTACGAAAGATCCTACTTTGTAATTCAATCGGTGAGATTAAGAACAGTACAAGTCCAAAATATTTATTTTGAAAAATTATTTTCTAAAATCAATTTAAAAGTTTAAAATGAATTTTTGTGAGAAGATTTATATTATTTTATAAAATATTATTATTATATTTTATAAAGTATATAGTTGAAATATTTTCACAAAAATGCATTTTGAACTATAAAACTGACTTTATAAAATAATTTGTCAAATTTTTTGGACTTGTACGGTTCTTAATCTCACCGATTCAATTGTAGCAAACAAAAATTAAATATTTAAAAATACCGCGCAAAATTTTTTTAGCATTAGTTCTCGCAGCCCCCGGCGAGGGCGCCATATTTATTGTTTTCAATGTTTATATGGGAATCGTTCGTCTCTCTCTCCCTTGTCTCTGCGTAGCAGTGTGTTTCGAAGTGTGCTCCACACTACACGGCTGCCCGTCACTGATGAGGTTCAAAAAGACCTAAACAGGCTGTATGTCGGTGCCTGTTGGTAAACCATTTTTTTTAAATTAAATTATTTTTGTTACTTTTATATCATGTAATAAATACTTTATGAATATCTTGCATCCCTTTTTGAAGAATAAGACTTATAAATTAATAAAGGTTTGGGGGCTTTGCCACACTACCAAAAATCCTCATGATTTCTGTATCGGTAAATATTTTTAATAAAAAACAAAGTTATAAATAAGTTTGTTTTACTGTAGACCCTAATTTAAACCCTTATTTTATTTGGATTGGTTTGATATGTATAATATAGCAATATTTTAAAAGTTATAATCTTTATTAACTGACATAATCATAGTTCTGAGTATTTTTATTTTAACACGTAATGTAATAAAAAATTTAAATATCTTGTTTAATTTTATTTAAAAAAAAAATTTTTTTTATTGCCAACTACGTTATTATTAGAGCTACAAAGTCGGTTAAATTAGCAAATTTAACCAATTTTGTAGCTCCAATAAAAACGGAGTTCGAATGGTAGCAATGGTGAGCATATAACTTTGGACACGGTGTATAGTCCGTAAAATATTTTTGGTTTGACATTTTTCCTCATATTTTGTACTCCTATACAGGGTATCCGTTTTTTTAGTCTTGGCATGGGTATCTCACTAATCTTTAGATATACATAGTTGGTTAAATTAACCAACATTTGAAGGTAGCCTTTTCTAATTCAGACATTACTATGTCACTTTTTAAGGAAAATTTTAAAGGTTCCAAAATATTACAGGGTGTCCGTTTTTTGAGTCTTAGCATGGGTATCTCACTAATCTTTAGAGATACATAGTTGGTTAAATTAACCAACATTTGAAGGTAGCCTTTTCTAATTCAGACATTACCATGTCACTTTTTAAGGAAAATTTTAAAGGTTCCAAAATATTTTTGCTAGCTTTCAAAACTGCCGAAATAAGATAAGCCTCGAAAAACGGACACTTAACACTTGTTAATAACGTAACAAAATATAATTTTTTAAAATGAATCAGCTTTTTTTGTTTCAGGGTTGAACCAACCACTAAAACAACAAAACTTCGCACGAAAAGTTCTAACAAAGTTGCAGATATAGAATGCCCGTATTGCAGCTATTCGACAAAACGCAAACAAGACCTGCAAAGACATGTTTACAGAATGCATCGAGAACAAAACGATATAGAGAAAGAAATAGAAATAACGTTTATGAAAAAAAATTGTGTTTACTGTGATTTTACAACAGTAGAAACACACTCATTGCAAATGCACATATACAGTAAACACAGGGAACAAAACGAGTTAGAAAAGAAAGTAAAAAAACTTACTTTTGCGATAACTGCGACTATTCAACACTAAGTAAATCGTATTTTGACTCGCACATAATATCATGCAAAAAAATAAAGTTAGAAAACACATTTAAATGCCATCAGTGTTCATATAAGTCAAACACAAACAAAAAACTAAAAAGGCATCTAAAGACCCATCAAAGTCCGAACTTTGTTTGCCCTTATTGTCAGCTGGTTTATAAAACTTCCAGAAATTTGCAACTGCATGTTATAATGAAGCACAAAGAACAAAATGAACAGGAAAACAAGGTTAAGTTGACTTATAAGTTTTACAAATGTAGTTTTTGTGAGTTAATACATTTAGACAAAAAAAAGGTGTTGGCTCATGAAAAAAAATGTAAAAATAAGAAGAAATGTTAAAGATTTTGTTACGGTTGAAAAACTAAATTTAATTAATAATTATTAAACAGGCATTGACAGACAACTTGTTTCGGTCTTTTTAACCTTATCAGTGCCACACATAGGTGGCCACGTCCGTTGGACGGTAGATGGAGCTGATTAGCGTGCGCTCACCGCTGTCGCTGTATCTGATTTCTTTATATTAGCGTAGCAGTGTGTTTCGAAGTGTGCTTCACACTACACGGCAGTGTTGTTCCGTCTATTACATTTGTAATAGTTCTATTACAACGGCCAAAAATCTATTACGTCATTACAAAATTAATAAATCTATTACATTTCCAAGATTTGTTTGTTTTTTTTTCAACAATAATTATACAGTTTGTTTGCGACTCACCCCTGTAAAATCTTTATTTATTGTGCGGTTTTAAACGGATTTCTTTTAAACTGTTTTTTTGGAGCAAAAAACGCCATATTTGTACAAAATACAAGGCCTTAGTTTTTAAGAGTAAATTTTTAAGAATTCATATTAGCGATTTTTTTAACAAAATCTAAGCACGGCACTGGAAAATTTGAAATAGAAAAATGTTATCCATGAAAAAAACATTGAAATAAAATTAAACTTATAGTAATTGTACCATGATAAGTAAGTACCTACCAATTACCTGTACAATTTTATTATTTTATCGACATCTGTTTTTGCTAACAAATATTTAAATAAAATCTTTATTCACAAAATATGCATGATGTCTTTGGATGATTATACAAATCCCCCCTCCCCTTTACCTTTATGAAATAACAAATTTCTTTATTTATATAATGATAGGTAGTTAAAAAATGGCCATCTATTACATTTTATAGGGATCTATTACTTTTTTCTGTAAAATCTGTTACGCTTTTTTTCCCGCTGGGAACAACACTGCTACACGACCGCCCGGCACTGATGAGGTTCAAAAAGACAGCGGTCTGTTGGTGCCTGTTGGTCGAGTACACTTAAAAAAACGGTGGCGAGGTTAAAGGCCAGCAAATAAAACCATTTTTTAAAACTAAATTATATTTATTACTTTTATATCATGTAATAAATACTTTATGAATATCTTGCATCACTTTTTGAAGAATAAGACTTATAAATTAATAAAGGTTTGGGGGCTTTGCCACACTACCAAAAATCCTCATGATTTCTGTATCAGTAAATTTTTTTAATAAAAAATAAAGTTATAAATAAGTTTGTTTTACTGTAGATCCTAACTGAAAACCTTATTTTATTTGGATTAGTTTAATATGTATATTATAGCAATATTTCAAACATTGTATTCTTTATACACTAACATATAATCATAGTTTTGAGTGTTTTTATTTTAACCCGTAGTGTAATAAAAAATTAAATTTCTTGTTTAATTTTATTTAAAAAATATTACGATATTTTTGTATTTCATTGCTAACTACGTTATTATTGAAGCTACAAAGTCGGTTAAATTGGCAAATTTAACCAACTTTGTAGCTCCAATAATAACGGAGTTCGAATGGTAGCAATGGTGAGCATATAACTTTGGACACGGTGTATAGTCCGTAAAATACTTTTGGTATTTTGTACTCCTATAAAGGTTGCCCGTTTTTTGAGTCTTAGCATGGGTACCTCATTAATCTTTAGAGATACATAGTTGGTTAAATTAACCAACATTTGTAATTAGCCTTTTCTAATTCAGACATTACTATGTCACTATTTAAGGAAAATTTAAAAGTGCCAAAATATTTTTGCTAGCTTTCAAAACTGCCGAAATAAGATAAGCCTCGAAAAACGGACACTTAACACTTGTTAATAACGTAACAAAATATAATTTTTGAAAATACAATGAATCAGCTTTTTTGTTTCAGGGTTGAACCAACCACTACCCTTGTGGAAATTTTTCTCTGAGAAAGTCTTACTTTCTCTGAAAAAGTCTGAATAATACTTATTAAGTCGGAAAAAGTCAGAATAAGACTTATTAAGTCGGAAAAAGTCTGAATAGGTCTTATTAAGTCAGACTAATAGCAAGATTTGGGAGTCTTCTGGAAGAGTTAATAAGACTTTTTAAGACTTAATAAGACTTTTAGTAGAGAAATGGTATGTACCTACGGAGATAAAAATAAATATCCGAAATAATTCATAGAGGTTGTATTTGGTTATCGTAAAATAAAACACATAGAAAAGTATTTATTAACATTTTTGCTGTTGTTATAAGCCAAGTTTATTGCATAATTACCTATCGTCGCCTTCAGGAGAAAATTGCTTAACTCCATGTTGTAAAATTTTACAGGAGGAAAGAAAAACATATTAAAGGTGTATTGGTGTATCTCCACATTACCGCCAAAAAATTGTTTAATGGAAAATTACGTATCTCCAATATGTACTTTATGTTAATAAAAGTAACCTTAAATTATTCATGGTACCTTAACTTTACACACTATACAATCTTTCATACTTACATACAGAAAAAATAACTAGGCAATAACTTATACTTGTCAATGGCACTGATTTGTATATTGGAGTTAGGCATTATTCCCTGGACGCTCCTCCACGATTGGAGATACGTATATTTCTTTTTCTAAATTTAAAATTAACGGTTTATTTTAGGACTTCTGTAACTTGCATATAAATTAGTTACAGTTTTATCTAACAGATGCCACTAAAATACAATTTTAATGAAAATGTGGAGTTACGTGATTTTCTCCTGAAGGCGACGCTATATAATAACATAGGTAAGATGTAATAATTAATTAGGTATAACAATTATAATGTTATACATACGATGCGCTTGACATGCATGCTTCCACCATAGAAAACTGTACGTTTTATTTTAATAGTTTCTTTTGATACAGGCAAATATTTACCTATCTAAACATTGTTACAAACAATAGACGTAAGACGTAATATCGAGAGACCAGCTTAGCTAGCTGACCAATTAGAGCACAGCTGACCTGTCAGTGGGACACAGTGTTGCCGTTTGCAAGTATTTTACTCGTATTTTCATAATATTTGCGGGTGATTTGCAAATTTCTATCAAAATAATAACAAAAGAAATTTTCAGTAAATAATATTGTATATTTACTAAATATGCACAATTATTTTATACTATTTTGTTACATTTTTATTATTATTTTAGTATTTTGTAATTTATGGTCAGGAACTTTTATGGCAACACTGCACGTAAACACGAAGATTAACCATGATACAAAAATGAATGAAACACGAAGATCAACCATATTTGTCATCATTTATGTTCTGTGCATATTTGTCTTATGAGTCTATCGAAAATATCATGTCTATAGACTTGATATTAACTCCTTTTTCTATGTTGGAAACAATGAAAGCATGTTAAGCGCATCGTATGTATAAAATTATAATTGTTATAATTATTACATCTTAGTAAGGTAAGATGATCTTACCTATGTTAGTATAAAGGTAATTATGTAATAAACTTGGCTTATAACAACAGCAAAAATGTTAATAAATACTTGTCTATGTGTTTTATTTTACGATAACCAAATACAACCTCTATGAATTATTTCGGATATTTATTTTTATCGCCATAGGTACCTACCATTTCTCTACTAAAAGTCTTATTAAATCTTAAAAAGTCTTATTAACTCTTCCAGAAGACTCCCAAATCTTGCTATTAGTCTGACTTAATAAGACTTATTCAGACTTTTTCCGACTTAATAAGTCTTATTCTGACTTTCTCCGACTTAATAAGTATTATTCAGACTTTTTCAGAGAAAGTAAGACTTTCTCAGAGAAAAATTTCCACAAGGGTAAAACAACAAAACTTCGCACGAAAAGTTCTAACAAAGTTGCAGATATAGAATGCCCGTATTGCAGCTATTCGACAACACGCAAACAAGACCTAAAAACATGTTTACAGAATTCATCGAGAACAAAACGATATAGAGAAAAAAATAGAAATAACGTGTATGAAAAAAAATTGTGTTTACTGTGATTTTACAACAATAGATACACGAGCATTCCAAATGCACGTACACAGTAAACACATGAAACAAAACGAGTTAGAAAAGAAAGTACCTATAACCATAAAAACTTATTTCTGCGATAACTGCGATTATTTAACAGTAAATCGTCTTTTGACCCGCACATAATATCACGCAAAAAAATAAAGTTAGAAAACACATTTAAATGCCATCAGTGTTCATATAAGTCAAACACAAACAAAAAACTAAAAAGGCATCTAAAGACCCATCAAAGTCCAAAGTTTGTTTGCCCTTATTGTCAGCTGGTTTATAAAACTTCCAGAAATTTGCAAGTGCATATTATAATGAAACACCAAGAACAAAATAAACAGGAAAACAAGGTTAAGTTGACTAATAAGTTTATATATTTACACAAAAAAAAAGGTGATGGATCATGAAGAAAAATGTAAAAATAGGAAGAAATGTTAAAGAATTTGTTAGGGTTGAAAAACAAAATTTAATTAATAATTAATTATTAAACAGGCACTGACAAACAACTTGTTTCGGTCTTTTTTAACCTTATCATTGCCACACATAGGTGGCCACGTCCGTTGGAAGGTAGATGGAGCTGATTAGCGTGCGCTCACCGCTGTCGCTGTATCTGATTTCTTTATATCAGCGTAGCATTGTGTTTCGAAGTGTGCTCCACACTACACGGCTGCCCGTCACTGATGAGGTTCAAAAAGAGCTAAACAGGCTGTATGTCGGTGCCTGTTGGTAAACCATTTCTTAAAATTAAATTATTTTGATTACTTTTATATCATGTATTAAATACTTTATGAATATCTTGCATCACTTTTTGAAGAATAAGACTTATAAATTAATAAAGGTTTGGGGGCTTTGCCACACTACCAAAAATCCTCATGATTTCTGTATCGGTAAATATTTTTAATAAAAAACAAAGTTATAAATAAGTTTGTTTTACTGTAGACCCTAATTTAAACCCTTATTTTATTTGGATTAGTTTAATATGTATATTATAGCAATATTACAAAAATTGTATTCTTTATAAACTAACATATAATCATAGTTTTGAGTGTTTTTATTTTAACCCGTAGTGTAATAAAGAAATAAAATTTCTTGTTTAATTTTATTTAAAAAAAGTTAACCAACTTTGTAGCTCCAATAAAAAAGGAGTTCGAATGGTATAGCAATTTTGAGCATATAACTTTGGACACGGTGTATAGCCCGTTAAATACTTTTCGTTTGACTTGTATTTTTCCTCATACTTTGTACTCCTATACAGGGTGTCTGTTTTTGGACTCTTAGCATGGGTATCTCACTTATCTTTAGAGATACATAGTTGGTTAAATTAACCAACATTTGAAGGTAGAATTCAGACATCATTATGTCACTGTTTAAGGAATATTTAAAAGTGCCAAAATACTTTTGCTAGCTTTCAAAACTGCCGAGATAAGATAAGACTTGAAAAACGGACACTCTGTAAACCTTGTTAATAACGTAACACAATATAAATTTTTGAAAAAACAATAATTTGGCTTTTTTGTTTTAGGGTTGAACCAACCACGAAAACTTCTAACAAAGTTGCAGATATAGAATGCCCGTATTGCAGCTATTCGACAAAACGCAAACTAGACCTGCAAAAACATGTTTACAGGATGCATCGAGAACAAAATGATATAGAGAAAAAAATAGAAATAACGTGTGAGATTTATAGTTGCGATAAATGCAACTACACTACTGTTTCAAAGAACAGTTTGGAGATTCACTCTTTTAAAGCTTGTAAGAGTTTGGATCCGCCAATATTGACTTGCAAACACTGCAGATTTAAAACAACTATTAAGTTTGAAATGCAGAAACACCTTAGGATGCACACATCCAATTTTAAGTGTTCGTACTGTGAGTATACAGCGAAAACAAATCAAAAGATAAAAAGGCACATTTATGCAAAACATAGGCAACAAAATAATGAAGAAAATAAAGTGCAATTAATACCAAAAAAATGTGTATACTGTGATTTTACAACAGTAGATACCCAAACATTTCAAATGCACATATACAGTAAACACAGGACACAAAACGAGTTAGAAAAGAAAGTACCTATAACCATAAAAACTTACTCCTGCGACAACTGTGACTATACAACAGTAAGGAAATCAAGTTTTCACTCGCACACAATATCATGCAAAAAAATAAAGTTAGAAAACACACTTAAATACCATCTGTGTCCATATAAGTCAAATACAAACGAAAAACTAAGGAAACATCTTAGTAGGCACACACCCAGTATTAAGTGTTTGTACTGTGACTTTTCCTCGGTGGAAAATCGAAGGATGAAGAGTCACATTTATAGAAAACATAGGCAACAAAATGACGTAGAAAATAAAGTGCAATTACTACTAGAAACTTGTGTATACTGTGATTTTACAACAATAGATACACGAGCATTGCAAATGCACGTACACAATAAACACAGAAAACAAAACGAGTTAGAAAAGAAAGTACCTATAACCATAAAAACTTTCTTCTGCGATAACTGCGACTATTCAACAGTAAGTATAACATGTTTTCACTCGCACACAAAATCATGCAAAAATATAAAGTTAGAAAACACATTTAAATGCCATCAGTGTCCATATAAGTCAAACACTAACAAAGAACTCAAATGGCATCTAAAGACCCATCAAAGTCGGAAGTTTGTTTGCCCTTATTGTCAGCTGGTTTATATAACTTCCAGATCTTTTTAACTGCATGTTATAATGAAGCACAAAGAACAAAATGAACAGGAATACAAGGTTAAGTTGACTAATAAGTTTTACAAATGTAGTTTTTGTGAGTTAATAAATTTCGAGAAAAAAAAGGTGATGGCTCATGAAGATAAATGTAAAAATAAGAAGAAAAGTTAAAGATTTTGTTACGGTTGAAAAACAAAATTTAATTAATAATTATTAAACAGGCACTGACAGACAACTTGTTTCGGTCTTTTTTAACCTTATCATTGCCACACATAGGTGGCCACGTCCGTTGGAAGGTAGATGGAGCTGATTAGCGTGCGCTCACCGCTGTCGCTGTATCTGATTTCTTTATATCAGCGTAGCAGTGTGTTTGGAAGTGTGCTCCACACTACACGGCCGCCCGGCACTGATGAGGTTCAAAAAGACAGCGGTCTGTCGGTGCCTGTTGGTCGAGTACACTTAAAAAAACAGTGGCGAGGTTAGCAAATAAAACCATTTTTTAAAATTAAATTATTTTTATTACTTTTAAATCATGTAATAAATACTTTATGAATATCTTGCATCCCTTTTTGGAGAATAAGACTTATAAATTAATAAATTTTTGGGGCTTTGCCACACTACCAAAAATCCTCATGATTTCTGTATTGGTAAATATTTTTAATAAAAAACAAGGTTATAAAATATAAGTTTGTTTTACTGTAGACCCTAATTTAAACCCTTATTTTATTTGGATTAGTTTAATATGTATATTATAGCAATATTTCAAAAATTGTATTCTTTCTAAACTAACATACAATCATAGTTTTGGGTGTTTTTACACCGAAAAAAATAATGTAGTTGAGTTAACATTTGCCTAAATGTCATTTTTAAAAATGTTGTTTCAACAAAAAACCTATTGGATTAATCTATATTTTGGTGTTAAAGCAAAAGTCAGAGTTTGTCAAAGTTTATTTGTTCATTTGACAGTTTAAATATTAATTTAACATAAACTAATATTTTGAATTAAAATGTTTATCGTACTTTGATTTAATAGCTGGAATTTGTTGAATCAACTACTGAAATTTTTAGGATTACCTAAAAAAACTATTAAATTAACGTTTAGTTGCTCTTTAATCCAAAACTTTAAATTTGCTCATTTAACAAATTTAAAATGTTACTTTAAAATTTAAAATGTAAAATTTGCATTCATAAAATTGCCGAGAATGGCGCTTCGAACACTCACGCCACGTCATTAGACAATGACGTTTTCTTACATCTCGCCTTAGTTAGCTTACGATTAGGTGTATATAAGATGAGATATCTGTTTGTTTAAGGTGTGTTCCACAGTAGAACTTTCACTACACCATATTGCCCGACACTGTTAAGACCCTCAATACAGGGCGAAACAGTCTGTCGGTATTTGAAATAGGTGGAACACATGATACAAAGATGTATCATGGGTGGAACACGCTCAAAACAAAAACTCTGGGCGAGGTGAAGGTTCAATTCTTTCTATTTATATATAATAATATATTATTTCCATAATTTTGTTTTGGATACCAACCTTTAAAGAATTTTACATTTTCAGAATGTTAATTTAACATTTTATTGGTGTTAAGTGAATATGCTAAAAAGGTTACCTGGACATTTCAAGAAATTTACCTCAACACCCTAAGAATGTTAAATTAACCAAATTAGCAGATTAGAACAAATATTCTTATTTTGTTCATTTGACTGTTATTTGTTGTTCAATTAAACAATACAATTTGACATTTTTAGATGGTTAAGTAAACGTGCAAAAACCATTGCTTGTATTTAAAGTGCATAAAGAGTTGAATTAATATTTTTTTTGTTGTTTCAACAGCTTATTTTTTTCAGTGTATTTTAACTCGTAAAGCAATACAAAATTTAAATATCTTGTTTAATTTTATTTAAAAAAAATATAACGAGTTTTTTTCCATTGCTAACAATATGTATAGCCCGTAGTTATTTGTTTTACAAGTGTTGAAAAGCGACTTTTTCATGCGAGTTTTTAAGTTGCCCACGAGGCCGTTAGGCCGAGTGTGCATTAACACGAGCTTGAAGAAAGCTTTTCTCACAAGTATAACACAATGTTTTTTCTTCGACCCTTTTATTTTTTATTATTTTTAAATACAAAACAAAATAACCTAAAAACTTTTTTGAGAGCTGAAAGTCAAACGATGCTTTCCGGTTCTTTTCACACAGACCTGTCACTTTTCACACAGAAATGTCACTTTACATTAGTGTTTTGCCTTGTCAATGAAAAGATTCATTTTCTAAGCAACGATGCCATCATGAAAGGTGACTTTTACATAGTGGTCGTAGAAAAAAATACTTTTCGTTTGACTTGTATTTTTCCTCATACTTTGTACTCCTATACAGGGTGGCCGTTTTTCGAGTCTTAGCATGGGTATCTCACTTATCTTTAGAGATACATAGTTGGTTAAATTAACCAACATTTGAAGGTAGCCTTTTCTAATTCAGACATTACTATGTCACTTTTTAAGGAAAATTTAAAAATGCCAAAATATTTTTGCTATAGCTTTCAAAACTGCCGAAATAAGATAAGCCTAGAAAAACGGACACTTAACACTTGTTAATAACGTAACAAAATATAATTTTTGAAAATACAATAAATCAGCTTTTTTTGTTTCAGGGTTGAGCCAACCACTAAAACAACAAAACTTCGCACGAAAAGTTCTAACAAAGTTGCAGATATAGAGTGCCCGTATTGCAGCTATTCGGCAAAACGCAAACACAACCTGCACAAACATGTTTATAGAATGCATCGAGAACAAAACGATATAGAGAAAGAAATAGAAATATCGTTTATGAAAAAAAATTGTGTTTACTGTGATTTTACAACAGTAGAAACACACTCATTGCAAATGCACATATACAGTAAACACAGGGAACAAAACGAGTTAGAAAAGAAAGTACCTATAACCATAAAAACTTACTCCTGCGACAACTGTGACTATTCAATACTAAGTAAATCGAGTTTTGACTCGCACACAATATCATGCAAAAAAATAAAGTTAGAAAACACATTTAAATGCCATCTGTGTCCATATAAGTCAAATACAAACCAAAAACTAAAGAAACACCTTCGTAGGCACACACCCAGTATTAAGTGTTTGTACTGTGACTTTTCATCGGTGGAAAATCAAACGATAAATAGGCATATTTATAGAAAACATAAGCAACAAAATGATGTAGAAAATAAAGTGCAATTACTACTACAAACTTGTTTTTACTGTGATTTTACAACAATAGATACACGAGCATTGCAAATGCACGTACACAATAAACACAGGAAACAAAACGAGTTAGAAAAGAAAGTACCTATAACCATAAAAACTTACTTCTGCGATAACTGCGATTATTCAACACTAAGTAAATCGTCTTTTGACTCGCACACAATATCATGCAAAAAAATAAAGTTAGAAAACACCTTTAAATGCCATCAGTGTTCATATAAGTCAAACACAAACAAAAAACTAAAATGCCATCTAAAGACCCATCAAAGTCCAAAGTTTGTTTGCCCTTATTGTCAGCTGGTTTATAAAACTTCCAGAAATTTGCAACTGCATGTTATAATGAAGCACAAAGAACAAAATGAACAGGAAAACAAGGTTAAGTTGACTTATAAGTTTTACAAATGTAGTTTTTGTGAGTTAATACATTTAGACAAAAAAAAGGTGATGGATCATGAAGAAAAATGTAAAAATAAGAAGAAATGTTAAAGATTTTGTTATGGATAAAAAAAAATAATCATAATTAATTATTAAACAGGCACCGACAGACAACCTGTTTCGGTCTTTTTTAACCTTATCATTGCCACACATAGGTGGCCACGTCCGTTGGACGGTAGATAAAGCTGATTAGCGTGCGCTCACCGCTGTCGCTGTATCTGATTGCTTTATTTCAGTGTGGCAGTGTGTTTCGAAGTGTGATCCACACTATACGGCTGCCCGGCACTGATGAGGTTTAAAAAGACCTAAACAGGCTCTGTCGGTGCCTGTTGGTCGAGTACACTTCAAACAAAACGGTGACGAGGTTAAAGGCGAGCTATTAAAACCATTTTTTAAAACTAAATTATTTTTATTACTTTTATATCATGTAATAAATACTTTATGAATATCTTGCATCACTTTTTGAAGAATAAGACTTATAAATTAATAAAGGTTTGGGGGCTTTGCCACACTACCAAAAATCCTCATGATTTCTGTATCAGTAAATTTTTTTAATAAAAAATAAAGTTATAAATAAGTTTGTTTTACTGTAGATCCTAACTGAAAACCTTATTTTATTTGGATTAGTTTAATATGTATATTATAGCAATATTTCAAACATTGTATTCTTTATAAACTAACATATAATCATAGTTGTGAGTGTTTTTATTTTAACCCGTAGTGTAATAAAAAATTAAATTTCTTGTTTAATTTTATTTAAAAAATATTACGATATTTTTGTATTTCATTGCTAACTACGTTATTATTGAAGCTACAAAGTCGGTTAAATTGGCAAATTTAACCAACTTTGTAGCTCCAATAAAAACGGAGTTCGAATGGTAGCAATGGTGAGCATATAACTTTGGACACGGTGTATAGTCCGTAAAATACTTTTGGTATTTTGTACTCCTATAAAGGGTGCCCGTTTTTTGAGTCTTAGCATGGGTACCTCATTAATCTTTAGAGATACATAGTTGGTTAAATTAACCAACATTTGAAGGTAGCCTTTTCTAATTTAGACATTACTATGTCACTTTTTAAGGAAAATTTTAAAGGTTCCAAAATATTTTTGCTAGCTTTCAAAACTGCCGAAATAAGATAAGCCTCGAAAAACGGACACTTAACACTTGTTAATAACGTAACAAAATATAATTTTTGAAAATACAATGAATCAGCTTTTTTGTTTCAGGGTTGAACCAACCACTAAAACAACAAAACTTCGCACGAAAAGTTCTAACAAAGTTGCAGATATAGAATGCCCGTATTGCAGCTATTCGACAACACGCAAACAAGACCTGCAAAAACATGTTTACAGAATTCATCGAGAACAAAACGATATAGAGAAAAAAATAGAAATAACGTGTATGAAAAAAAATTGTGTTTACTGTGATTTTACAACAATAGATACACGAGCATTCCAAATGCACGTACACAGTAAACACATGAAACAAAACGAGTTAGAAAAGAAAGTACCTATAACCATAAAAACTTACTTCTGCGATAACTGCCATTATTTAACACTAAGTAAATCGTCTTTTGACCCGCACATAATATCATGCAAAAAAATAAAGTTAGAAAACACATTTAAATGCCATCATTGTTCATATAAGTCAAACACAAACAAAAAACTAAAAAGGCATCTAAAGACCCATCAAAGTCCAAAGTTTGTTTGCCCTTATTGTCAGCTGGTTTATAAAACTTCCAGAAATTTGCAAGTGCATATTATAATGAAACACCAAGAACAAAATAAACAGGAAAACAAGGTTAAGTTGACTAATAAGTTTATATATTTACACAAAAAAAAGGTGATGGATCATGAAGAAAAATGTAAAAATAAGAAGAAATGTTAAAGAATTTGTTAGGGTTGAAAAACAAAATTTAATTAATAATTAATTATTAAACAGGCACTGACAAACAACTTGTTTCGGTCTTTTTTAACCTTATCATTGCCACACATAGGTGGCCACGTCCGTTGGAAGGTAGATGGAGCTGTCGCTGTATCTGATTTCTTTATATCAGCGTAGCAGTGTGTTTCGAAGTGTGCTCCACTCTACACGGCTGCCCGTCACTGATGAGGTTCAAAAAGACCTAAACAGGCTGTATATCGGTGCCTGTTGGTAAACCATTTTTTAAAATTAAATTATTTTTATTACTTTTATATCATGTAATAAATACTTTATAAATGGGTCAGAATTTCTCAAACGGGCCACCTGAATTAGGTCAAAATTAGTTTTTGTTTGTAGATACATTTTTTTGATAGTATTTTACATCACTAACACAAATCCTGAAGGATTTTGTAAAAAAAAAATTTTCAATTGACATATTCATGATATTAAAAGTCAAAGTTTTTAATAATTAAAAAATAAAAAAATTCATTATGGCTGAACTAATTATCCGATTCCAACGATATAACTAGCGTTGGAATCTTGTTTTGACATAGATTCTTTGTTATTTTTTTCAATTGTCCTATTTTCATTTAGGTCGATTTTTTTTTGTTTTTTTTATACCAAACTCGGAAATAATTGCCTTCTGCGCCAGCTATCGACTCGAGAAAAAAAACACATATACTCCAATCATTTCTCGAAATTATGCTGCTGAGAAAAAAAAATGGCCCGCAGGTTGACAAAAAGTTATTCGTCCTTTTGTGGCCGCGCGCGGTGTCAGCTCACGCTCCGAACCGTGTACGCTGTACGCGCTTGTGACGCGACGTCTTACGGTGGTCTGGAACCTGCGGGCCATTTTTTTTCTCAGCAGCATAATTTCGAAAAATGATTGGAGTATATGTGTTTTTTTTTTCGAGTCGATAGCTGGCGCAGAAGCCAATTATTTCCGAATTTGTTATAAAAAAAACAAAAAAAAATCGACCTAAATGAAAATTGTACAATTGAAAAAAATAACAAAGAATCTATGTCAAAACAAGATTCCCACGCTAGTTAAATCGTTGGAATCGGATAATTAGTTTAGCCATAATGATTTTTTTTTATTTTTTAATTACTAAAAACTTTTACTTTTAATATCATGAATATGTCAATTGAAATTTTTTTTTTTTACAAAATCCTTTAGGATTTGTGTTAGTGATGTAAAATACTATCGAAAAAATGTATCTACAATCAAAAACTAATTTTGACCTAATTCAGGTGGCCCGTTTGAGTAATTCTGACCCAAATATCTTGCATCCCTTTTTGAAGAATAAGACTTATAAATTAATAAAGGTTTGGGGGCTTTGCCACACTACCAAAAATCCTCAGGATTTCTGTATCGGTAAATATTTTTAATAAAAAACAAGGTTATAAATAAGTTTTTGTTTTATTGTAGACCCTAATTTAAACCCTTATTTTATTTGGATTAGTTTAATATGTATATTATGGCAATATAACAAAAATTGTATTCTTTATAAACTAACATATAATCATAGTTTTGAGTGTTTTTATTTTAACCCGTAGTGTAATAAAGAAATTAAATTTCTTGTTTAATTTTATTTAAAAAAAGTTTTTTTTTTCATTGCCAACTACGTTATTATTGGAATTACAAAGTCGGTTAAATTAGCAAATTTAACCAACTTTGTAGCTCCAATAAAAACGGAGTTCGAATGGTATAGCAATTTTGAGCATATAACTTTGGACACGGTGTATAGCCCGTAAAACACTTTTCGTTTGACTTGTATTTTTCCTCATACTTTGTACTCCTATACAGGGTGTCCGTTTTTGGAGTCTTAGCATGGGTATCTCACTTATCTTTAGAGATACATAGTTGGTTAAAGTAACCAACATTTGAAGGTAGAATTTTCTAATTCAGACATCATTATGTCACTGTTTAAGGAATATTTAAAAGTGCCAATAATATATTACACTACAAGGGCAGAAAGTGTGAGATTCCTGCACTGCGCGCCATGATGGCGCGCAGTTCAGGGCTCTCACACTTTCTGCTCGTGTAGTGTATACTATTTTTCTTACTACCTCGGCCGAAAATGCAACCCGGCCGAAAATACGGGAAAAAATTAAATGTGTATATAGAAACATATTGATGCCTGTCCAAATTTTGAGGTTATATTAGTGTCGTAATCATAGTTGCATATGTTGAGCACACGACTAAAATATTTTTACTCCCGCTATTATAGAGTGTGCGCGTATAGCTTGACCAATGCAAGAAACGTAAACTTTCTGCCGTGAAATCGGGGACGAAACAACTTATTTTCAGTCGAGGTAGTAAGAAAAATATTTTTGCTAGCTTTCAAAACTGCCGAGATAAGATAAGACTTGAAAAACGGACACTCTGTAAACCTTGTTAATAACGTAACAAAATATAAATTTTTGAAAAACCAATAATTTAGGTTTTTTGTTTTAGGGTTGAACCAACCTCGAAAACTTCTAACAAAGTTGCAGATATAGAATGCCCTTATTGCAGCTATTCGACAAAACGCAAACTAGACCTGCAAAAACATGTTTACAGGATGCATCGAGAACAAAACGAAGTGGAGAAAAAAATAGAAATAAAGTGTTTGATGTATAGTTGCGATAAATGCAACTACACTACTGTTTCAAAGAACTGTTTGGAAATTCACTCTTTTAAAGCTTGTAAGAGTTTGGATGCGCCAATATTGACTTGCAAACACTGCAGATTTAAAACAACTATTAAGTTTGAAATGCAGAAACACCTTAGGATGCACACATCCAATTTTAAGTGTTCGTACTGTGAGTATGCAGCGAAAACAAATCAAAAGATAAAAAGGCACATTTATGCAAAACATAGGCAACAAAATGATGAAGAAAATAAAGTGCAATTAATACCAAAAAAATGTGTATACTGTGATTTTACAACAGTAGATACACAAACATTTCAAATGCACATATACAGTAAACACAGGACACAAAACGAGTTAGAAAAGAAAGTACCTATAACCATAAAAACTTACTCCTGCGACAACTGTGACTATACAACAGTAAGGAAATCAAGCTTTCACTCGCACACAATATCATGCAAAAAAATAAAGTTAGAAAACACACTTAAATGCCATCTGTGTCCATATAAGTCAAATACAAACGAAAAACTAAAGAAACACCTTAGTAGGCACACACCCAGTATTAAGTGTTTGTACTGTCACTTTTCATCGGTGGAAAATCGAAGGATGAAGAGTCACATTTATAGAAAACATAAGCAACAAAATGACGTAGAAAATAAAGTGCAATTACTACTAGAAACTTGTGTCTACTGCGATTTCACAGCAATAGATACACGAGCATTGCAAATGCACGTACACAATAAACACAGGAAACAAAACGAGTTAGAAAGGAAAGTACCTATAACCATAAAAACTTTCTTTTGCGATAACTGCGACTATTCAACAGTAAGTATAACATGTTTTCACTCGCACACAAAATCATGCAAAAATATAAAGTTAGAAAACACATTTAAATGCCATCAGTGTCCATATAAGTCAAACACTAACAAAGAACTCAAATGGCATCTAAAGACCCATCAAAGTCGGAAGTTTGTTTGCCCTTATTGTCAGCTGGTTTATATAACTTCCAGATCTTTTCAACTGCATGTTATAATGAAGCACAAAGAACAAAATGAACAGGAATACAAGGTTAAGTTGACTAATAAGTTTTACAAATGTAGTTTTTGTGAGTTAATAAATTTCGAGAAAAAAAAGGTGATGGCTCATGAAGATAAATGTAAAAATAAGAAGAAAAGTTAAAGATTTTGTTACGGTTGAAAAACAAAATTTAATTAATAATTATTAAACAGGCACTGACAGACAACTTGTTTCGGTCTTTTTTAACCTTATCATTGCCACACATAGGTGGCCACGTCCGTTGGAAGGTAGATGGAGCTGATTAGCGTGCGCTCACCGCTGTCGCTGTATCTGATTTCTTTATATCAGCGTAGCAGTGTGTTTGGAAGTGTGCTCCACACTACACGGCCGCCCGGCACTGATGAGGTTCAAAAAGACAGCGGTCTGTCGGTGCCTGTTGGTCGAGTACACTTAAAAAAACAGTGGCGAGGTTAGCAAATAAAACCATTTTTTAAAATTAAATTATTTTTATTACTTTTAAATCATGTAATAAATACTTTATGAATATCTTGCATCCCTTTTTGGAGAATAAGACTTATAAATTAATAAATTTTTGGGGCTTTGCCACACTACCAAAAATCCTCATGATTTCTGTATTGGTAAATATTTTTAATAAAAAACAAGGTTATAAAATATAAGTTTGTTTTACTGTAGACCCTAATTTAAACCCTTATTTTATTTGGATTAGTTTAATATGTATATTATAGCAATATTTCAAAAATTGTATTCTTTCTAAACTAACATACAATCATAGTTTTGGGTGTTTTTATTTTAACTCGTAAAGCAATACAAAATTTAAATATCTTGTTTAATTTTATTTAAAAAAAATATAACGAGTTTTTTTCCATTGCTAACAATATGTATAGCCCGTAGTTATTTGTTTTACAAGTGTTGAAAAGCGACTTTTTCATGCGAGTTTTTAAGTTGCCAACGAGGCCGTTAGGCCGAGTGTGCATTAACACGAGCTTGAAGAAAGCTTTTCTCACAAGTATAAGACAATGTTTTTTCTGCGACCCTTTTATTTTTTATTATTTTTAAATACAAAACAAAATAACCTAAAAACTTTTTTGAGAGCTGAAAGTCAAACGATGCTTTCCGGTTCTTTTCACACAGACCTGTCACTTTTCACACAGAAATGTCACTTTACATTAGTGTTTTGCCTTGTCAATGAAAAGATTCATTTTCTAAGCAACGATGCCATCATGAAAGGTGACTTTTACATAGTGGTCGTAGAAAAAAATACTTTTCGTTTGACTTGTATTTTTCCTCATACTTTGTACTCCTATACAGGGTGGCCGTTTTTCGAGTCTTAGCATGGGTATCTCACTTATCTTTAGAGATACATAGTTGGTTAAATTAACCAACATTTGAAGGTAGCCTTTTCTAATTCAGACATTACTATGTCACTTTTTAAGGAAAATTTAAAAATGCCAAAATATTTTTGCTATAGCTTTCAAAACTGCCGAAATAAGATAAGCCTAGAAAAACGGACACTTAACACTTGTTAATAACGTAACAAAATATAATTTTTGAAAATACAATAAATCAGCTTTTTTTGTTTCAGGGTTGAGCCAACCACTAAAACAACAAAACTTCGCACGAAAAGTTCCAACAAAGTTGCAGATATAGAGTGCCCGTATTGCAGCTATTCGGCAAAACGCAAACACAACCTGCACAAACATGTTTATAGAATGCATCGAGAACAAAACGATATAGAGAAAGAAATAGAAATATCGTTTATGAAAAAAAATTGTGTTTACTGTGATTTTACAACAGTAGAAACACACTCATTGCAAATGCACATATACAGTAAACACAGGGAACAAAACGAGTTAGAAAAGAAAGTACCTATAACCATAAAAACTTACTCCTGCGACAACTGTGACTATTCAATACTAAGTAAATCGAGTTTTGACTCGCACACAATATCATGCAAAAAAATAAAGATAGAAAACACATTTAAATGCCATCTGTGTCCATATAAGTCAAATACAAACCAAAAACTAAAGAAACACCTTCGTAGGCACACACCCAGTATTAAGTGTTTGTACTGTGACTTTTCATCGGTGGAAAATCAAACGATAAATAGGCATATTTATAGAAAACATAAGCAACAAAATGATGTAGAAAATAAAGTGCAATTACTACTACAAACTTGTTTTTACTGTGATTTTACAACAATAGATACACGAGCATTTCAAATGCACGTACACAATAAACACAGGAAACAAAACGAGTTAGAAAAGAAAGTACCTATAACCATAAAAACTTACTTCTGCGATAACTGCGATTATTCAACACTAAGTAAATCGTCTTTTGACTCGCACACAATATCATGCAAAAAAATAAAGTTAGAAAACACCTTTAAATGCCATCAGTGTTCATATAAGTCAAACACAAACAAAAAACTAAAATGCCATCTAAAGACCCATCAAAGTCCAAAGTTTGTTTGCCCTTATTGTCAGCTGGTTTATAAAACTTCCAGAAATTTGCAACTGCATGTTATAATGAAGCACAAAGAACAAAATGAACAGGAAAACAAGGTTAAGTTGACTTATAAGTTTTACAAATGTAGTTTTTGTGAGTTAATACATTTAGACAAAAAAAAGATGATGGATCATGAAGAAAAATGTAAAAATAAGAAGAAATGTTAAAGATTTTGTTATGGATAAAAAGAAATAATCATAATTAATTATTAAACAGGCACCGACAGACAACCTGTTTCGGTCTTTTTTAACCTTATCATTGCTACACATAGGTGGCCACGTCCGTTGGACGGTAGATAAAGCTGATTAGCGTGCGCTCACCGCTGTCGCCGTATCTGATTTCTTTATATCAGCGTAGCATTGTGTTTCGAAGTGTGATCCACACTATACGGCTGCCCGGCACTGATGAGGTTTAAAAAGACCTAAACAGGCTCTGTCGGTGCCTGTTGGTCGAGTACACTTCAAACAAAACGGTGACGAGGTTAAAGGCGAGCTATTAAAACCATTTTTTAAAACTAAATTATTGTTATTACTTTTATATCATGTAATAAATACTTTATGAATATCTTGCATCACTTTTTGAAGAATAAGACTTATAAATTAATAAAGGTTTGGGGGCTTTGCCACACTACCAAAAATCCTCATGATTTCTGTATCGGGTAATATTTTTAATAAAAAACAAGGTTATAAATAAGTTTGTTTTACTGTAGACCCTAATTTAAACCCTTATTTTATTTGGATTAGTTTAATATGTATATTATAGCAATATTTCAAAAATTGTATTCTTTATACACTAACATATAATCATAGTTTTGAGTGTTTTTATTTTAACCCGTAGTGTAATAAAAAATAAATTTCTTGTTTAATTTTATTTAAAAAATATTACGATTTTTTTGTATTTCATTGCTAACTACGGCAAATTTAACCAACTTTGTAGCTCCAATAATAACGGAGTTCGTATGGTAGCAAACATGAGCAGATAACTTTGGACACTGCGTATAGTCCGTAAAATACTTTTGGTTTGACATTTTTCCTCATATTTTGTACTCCTATACAGGGTGTCCGTTTTTTGAGTTTTAGCATGCTTATCTCACTAATCTTTAGAGATACATAGTTGGTTAAATTAACCAACATTTGAAGGTAGCCTTTTCTAATTCAGACATTACTATGTCACTTTTTAAGGAAAATTTTAAAGGTTCCAAAATATTTTTGCTAGCTTTCAAAACTGCCGAAATAAGATAAGCCTCGAAAAACGGACACTTAACACTTGTTAATAACGTAACAAAATATAATTTTTGAAAATACAATGAATCAGCTTTTTTGTTTCAGGGTTGAACCAACCACTAAAACAACAAAACTTCGCACGAAAAGTTCTAACAAAGTTGCAGATATAGAATGCCCGTATTGCAGCTATTCGACAAAACGCAAACAAGACTTGCACAAACATGTTTACAGAATGCATCGAGAACAAAACGATATAGAGAAAAAAATAGAAATAACGTGTCCGAAAAAAAATTGTGTTTACTGTGATTTTACAACAATGGATACACGAGCATTGCAAATGCACATATACAGTAAACACAGGGAACAAAACGAGTTAGAAAAGAAAGTACCTATAACCTTAAAAACTTACTCCTGCGACAACTGTGACTATAAAACATTAATAATATCAAGCTTTTACTTGCACACAATATCATGCAAAAAAATAAAGTTAGAAAAAACATTTAAATGCCATCAGTGTTCATATAAGTCAAACACAAACAAAAAACTAAAAGGGCATCTAAAGACCCATCAAGTCCGAACTTTGTTTGCCCTTATTGTCAGCTGGTTTATAGAACTCCCAGATATTTGCAAATGCATGTTATAATGAAGCACAAAGAACAAAATGAACAGGAAAACAAGGTTAAGTTGACTAAGTTTTACAAATGTAGTTTTTGTGAGTTAATAAATTTACACAAAAAAAGGGTGATGGATCATGAAGAAAAATGTAAAAATAAGAAGAAATGTTAAAGATTTTGTTATGGTTGAAAAACAAAATTTAATTAATAATTAATTATTAAACAGGCACTGACAAACAACTTGTTTCGTTCTTTTTTAACCTTATCATTGCCACACATAGGTGGCCACGTCCGTTGGACGGTAGATGGAGCTGATTAGCGTGCGCTCACCGCTGTCGCTGTATCTGATTTCTTTATATCAGCGTAGCATTGTGTTTCGAAGTGTGATCCACACTATACGGCTGCCCTAAACAGGCTGTCTGTCGGTGCCTGTTGGTCGAGTACACTTCAAACAAAACGGTGACGAGGTTAAAGGCCAGCAAATAAAACCATTTTTTAAAACTAAATTATTGTTATTACTTTTATATCATGTAATAAATACTTTATGAATGTCTTGCATCCCTTTTTGAAGAATAAGACTTATAAATTAATAAAGGTTTGGGGGCTTTGCCACACTACCAAAAATCCTCATGATTTCTGTATAGGTACATATTTTTAATAAAACACAAGTTTATAAATAAGTTCGTTTTATTGTAGACCCTAATTTAAACCCTTATTTTATTTGGATTAGTTTGATATGTATAATATAGCAATATTTTAAAAATTATAATCTTTATAAACTAACATAATCATAGTTCTG